TGGGTGGGAATCCTAAATAAATAAATAAAAGTACCCACGTAATGTCCCCCCTGGTCCTCATCCATGAGCGGCATGTGGGGACCCTAATTAATTAAAGGGGGGACATAATGTCCCCGCTAGTCCTCACACATGAGCGGCGGATGGGAACCCTAAATAAATAATGGGGGGGACCTAATGTCCCCCCAGACCCTACCCATGAGCGGCAGGTGGGGACCCTAACTAGATAATGGCGGGAACCTAATGTCCCACCTGCCGGTCATGGGTGGGGACCTGGTGGGGACATTAGGTTCCTTTCATTATTTAGTTAGGTGGGTGGGACCACAAATAATAAAGTGACTAGGGGTCCCCAAGCCCCCCAATAAAAATACCCTACCAACCCCCCCACCCTAATAATAGTGAGGGTAGGCAATAAACTAACCCTGTAAAACTAAATTTCATACTTAACATTTGATGTCTTCTTTTTTCTAGAAACCTTATTTTTTCAGCCCCAAAAAAGGCCAAATAAAAATCCATAATACCCGTCGAACTTTAAAAATAAAATATAAAACCTGAGTGCAAAAATCCTTGAAATCCAACCAATCAGAGTGCTCTGTGTCATTTTACACAGCGTGAGAAAGTTCTTTTGAATTTTCCCATGCTGTGTAATTTGACTCATAACACTGTGATTGGTTGCTCGCTGTCATTTAAAACTGGATATAAATGTATCCTATATAGAAGTGTTAGAGCTACGGTAAGAGTACATGGAAAAAGTAGCTATTTAGATCTACACAGAGGATGTAAAAATATAAAGAATACACTAGTGAGCAGTAATTATAAAGATCCATCAAAATCAAATAATTTCCTGAATAGCAATAAAGGTTTTTATGGGTGTGGATTTTGCCTAGCATGTAGAGAGACTAACAGTAAAAAGAGAAACGTAAAGAATATTAAGGAATTTACAAAGAAAGATTTTATGATAAGAGATCAATTAACTTGTTTTTCCTAAAATATTATTTATATGCTAAAATGTCCTTGTGACATGCTATACATTGAGAGAACAATTAGGTGCTTACACTAGAATATCAGAACACGTTAGGAACATTAAAAAAGGCGTGGAAACGGGTAGTGTATCCAATCATTTTAAGAATTATCATTTTAAAAATCCAAAAGATCTTACTTTTTCTGCACCTAAATCAGTTAAAAGAAATTTGAGGGGAGGAAATTTTACAAAGAAAATTGGTATTTATTTTTAATTTTAATACTACACATGTAGTATTAAACCCACATGGCCTAAATTTTGATTTTTTTTTAACTGTGTTTTGAACTGTCATTTTTTAACTTGACAGTATATTAATATTTAAAATAATATTTTGTATTTTTTGAATATTCTTATGAATTTTTTTTTTTAAACATTCTTTATTTGTTGTTTTCCAGTGTGGAAAAAGTAAACATTAGGGTACAGAATTGAAGGAGGGTGGGGGTGGTACAGCCAAAATTGTACAGGTTCACAGTAATTTCCATACATGTGTCTTTGTGTCTCAAGGTGTTGTGAAAGAGAAACTGTGTCGTGGTGTAGTCTGTTGGTTAGGCGTTTAACGTGCAGTAGTGTGGGGTTCAGGGAACTCTGTCTTAGTCTCTTTCCCTTTGCACGGTACGTTTGGTCCAACCTGTGTTGGTGGCCGTTTGAGGTTTGCGATTTGTCTCGTTAACGGTTTTTGTGGTAGGGTGGGTTGCCCTCTTTTTGACTGTTTTTATTGTCCTCGTTGCGTACTGATGGGCGCCCATGGGTCTGGGTGGTCTGTTGGGGGGGGTTGAGGACCTATGTACAAGGGGGGGGTACCATGGCGAGATTCAGTTTCGGGTGACTGGTAGTCATCCAGTAGTTCGGGTTGGGGTAGTGTTTCGTACTTTGAGTATCAGTGCATTGGTATTTTGATTGCTATGTTAGAATAGCGGGCCTATTTGGTGAGCTGGAGGCTGTCTGTGTGCCCTTATTGTAGGTGGGGTTCAGATAGCCAGGGGTCCCAGATTCTGTGGAAGTGCTTGGAGGTCTCATGTATAATGGCTGATATCCTATCCATGTGTATTGCTTCCCTGGTTTTGCGTATGATTGTTTGCAGTGTGGGGGTGTTTGGCGTTCCCCATACTTCGGCTATTGCCCGTCTAGTCGCTAGGGCTATCCTGTTTGTCATTTTGTTTTGGGCTCTGGTCAGGTCCTCTCGTGGTCTGGAGAGGAGCCAAGTCCAGGGGTCTAATGGTATGGTGGTCTGGAGGAGTGTTGAGACTAGGGTAGCCACTTCTGCCCAAAGTGGGGCCAATTTAGGGCAATGCCACCATGTGTGTATGTATGTGCCCTTCTGCCCACAGTTTTTCCAGCATAGGTCCGCGTCTGCCTTGCCCATATGGTACAAACGTACCGGGGTTAGGTACCATCGGAGCAGTGTTTTGTACGCTTGCTCCTTATGGTTAACGCATATGGATATGGAGGCCGTTGCCTCCCAGATATCCTGCCAGTCGGTGGGGTCGCCCGGGGGCCCCAGGTCCCTCTCCCAAGCTGCCACATATGCCAATGCCCCCTTGGGTTGGTTGGTGATAAGGAGTGTGTAATTTTCCGTAATTTGACCTTTGTGAAGTGGGTTGTGTAGGCATGTCCTCTCAAACCGTGTGAGTGTGGTGGTGGCAGCTTTGGCGTTGTCGGGTTGCTCTAGGAAGCTTTGCAGTTGTATGTAGCGAAAGAAGTCGTGGGTGGTGTATGTTGCCTGCGTGTTAGGAAGGTCATTGTATGGGGTTATTCGAGTTCCCGTGTAGAAGTGGTGCAGTCTGGACAGGTCGTTTTGTTCATAGTGTGCAAAGTCTTTGGGTGTTAACCCTAGGGGGAATGCTCTATTGCGTAGTATTGGCGTCAGTGGTGTCGGGTTGTTTATGATGGGGAATTTCCTGGTAGTTTTGTCCCACATGTCTATTGAGTTGGTGATTGATGGGGGCTGTGGTGGTGGTAGGGGGCGTGATTTCTTTGATACCCATATGTAGAGGGATGGAAGGTCGCGTCCAAATAGGTCATGTTCCAAGTCCGCCCATCGTTTGATCCCCTGTGGGGTGTGCCACTTTTGGATCTGTGTGAGTTGTGCGGCGTAGTAGTAGTTTTGGAAATGGGGTAGTCCCAGTCCTCCCATCCTATTGGGGATGTACATGGTGCTCCTTTTAATTCTGGGTCTTTTGTTTGCCCAGATAAAGTTATCAATTAGTTTTTGGACATATTTTGCGTCTGTTGTGGGGAGTGGGATGGGGAGGGTTTGGAATAAGTAGAGGAAGCGGGGTAGGAGGTTCATCTTTACTGATGCTATGCGGCCTAGCCATGATAGTGATAGGTCTTGCCATCTTTTGAGATCGTCTGTTGCTTTCTGTATCATTGGGGTGTAGTTCAGGGCGTATGTGCGGTGTAGTGTTGCTGGTAGCTGTATACCTAGGTATGGGATGTGGGATGTGTTGTAGCGAAACCTATATGTTTCTTGTAGTGTCTCCTTCGTGTCTTGGTCGATATTTATGCTAAGTACCTCTGTCTTGTCCAGGTTTAGTTTATATCCTGAGGCTGCTGAGTATTCTTTCACCAATTGTAGGAGTGGTGGGAGGGAGGTGAGGGGTTCAGTTAGCGTTAGGAGCAGGTCATCGGCGTATGCAGCCACCTTGTAGGTTTGGGAGCGTACTGTAATGCCCGTGATGGTGGCGGTGGTGCGTATGAGGTGTAGTAGTGGTTCCAATGAGAGGGCGAAAAGGATCGGGGACAGTGGACAGCCCTGTCTCGTTCCGTTGCGTATAGGGAAGTGGGGGGGTTGCGCGTTTGGGATGAGTAATTTTGCTTTTGGGGTAGAGTAGATCGTTTTGAGGGCTGTCGTGAATGGTGTTGGGAATTGGAGTTTCTCTAAGGTAGCGAAGAGGAAGGGCCATAGTAGTCTGTCAAATGCCTTCTCGGCGTCAAGGGATAGTAGGAGGGTGGGGATGTTACGGTGATTGGCTACCCATATGAGGTCTAAGGTCCGTCGTGTTGTCGCTCGCTTGTCTTACTGGGACGAATCCGACTTGGCCGGGGTGGATTGTTGATGGGATGTAGGGGAGCAGTCTGTTGGCGAGGATTTTGGTGAAGATTTTAATGTCTACGTTTAGTAGGGAGATGGGTCTGTAGTGACCTGGTTCCATGTGCGGTTTGCCAGGTTTGGGTAGTAGGCAAATGTTTGCCTCCAGCATGTCCTCGGGCATCTGGTCTCCAGTCATGAGCGAGTTATATAGCTTTGTCATGTAGGGTAGCAGGTTGTCTGTGAATGTTTTGTAGTAAATGCCCGAGTATCCGTCCGGGCCTGGGCTTTTGTTGGGTTTCGTGGTGCCTATTACTTTCCTCACCTCCTCCTCTGTGATTTCTGTCGAGAGGTGTGTTTGGGCCTCCGTCGTGAGTGTCGGTAAGTGGGCCTTTGTTAGGAGGGTTTGTATATTGTCGTGTAGGGGGCCGTCGTCTTGGCGGTGTTGAGGGGAGTGGTCGTATAGGTCAGTGAAATACTTCTGGAAGGTCTCGGCGATTTTACTGGGGATGTCGGTTGGTTGGCCTGTGGGGGTATGGATGGTGGTAATTTGCTTGGCTTGCTGGCGTTTGCATAGCCTTCGGGCCAGTAGTGTGTCTGCTTTGTTTGATTTTTCATAGAACATTTGTTTTGTCCATTGTAAAGCTTTAGTTGCGTCTTTCGCCATGGCCTGTTTAAGGGCCTGGCGCTGGTGGTGCAGTTGCGTTGTGAGGTCTTGTGTGGGGGTTAGTTTGTGTTGTGCTTCGAGTTGTCTGATCTGATCCAATAGGGATGTTATGTGGGCTATGTGTTTCTTTTTATGCTCCGTGGCTATGCTGATCAGGGATCCTCTGAGCACTGTTTTGTGGGCTGCCCAAAGTACCGCGTGTGATTGCACCGAGTCTTTGTTGGTGTCGAAGTATTGGGTGAGTTCTGTCTTCAGTTGGGCAATTATTTGGGGGTCGTGGAGTAGTATGGGGTTAAGCCTCCAGGTCCAAGGTCTTGAGATTTGTGGTGGTTGGAGTTGTAGTGTGATGTCTGCGTGGTCTGACCAAGTGATGTTGCCTATTGCGGAGTTTGTGACGTGGGGGATTAGGGATGGTGAGATGAGAAAGAGGTCAATGCGGGAGTAGGTGTGGTGGGGGTGCGAGTAGAACGTGTAGTCGCGGTCTGTTGGGTGTTGAGATCTCCATATGTCTATGAGGCCCGTTTGGGTTATAAAGTCGGCCAACATTTTGTCCGATCTGGAGGGATGGATGGGTTGCTGGGTGTGGGGGGAGTAGCGTTGTCTGTCTATGGATGGGGAGATTGTGGCGTTGAAGTCCCCCCCTATTATTCTGTGGTGGCTAGGATGTTGGCTGAGGTGAGCTTGTATTGTTTGCCAAAATTGTGGGTCTGGAATGTGCATATATGGAGGTCAGAGCTATTTTTGTGGGCCCAATTCTTATGAATTTTTATACATCTTATTTATATTTTTAAATGAAACATTGATTCACAACATTTTTATCTATTTTTCCCTCCATTTTCCTTTATAAAGAATTAATTAATGATGACACTTTGTAGTGGTGTGGTGTCCACATTTTATTTTTTAATATGCAACTTCAGACACCCTGTGGTATTACTTCTTAATTATAATATGCATTTTTAGCGAAATAGTGTGTGTGTTTTCCTATCTCTGATTACATTTATGTCTATGTTCACATTCTGGGATTATATGGCATTGCATTGAAGTTTCCTGCTCGGCTATTGTTACTGATGGATGGATTTTTTCGTTTTAAAATTACGGAAGTGGAATGCAGATTTGCGTTCCACAGAGAGAGTAAGTTACACACCAGACCATGTGATCGACAAACGAACAGAACATGCGCTCCTTTGAGAACACTTCCGGGTACACAGATGACGATAATTTGGAAATCAGGACGGAATAAAAGACTGAACTGCTTTCCACAAAGTATTCACCAACTGAGGAAGCCAGCTGATGGCGAAATGCGTTTTGGACTAAAGACTATACTACTTTATAAGTATTTTTGATCACTAGATCAGTTTTTATTTTATTTATACTAATAAATTTATTCATTTATTTACATCATTGAAGTTTTCCTGTCTATCCCTGCAGACCAACATTTAGGTTTGAAAGACACAGAAGAGGGTTGTGGATCTTCCTTAAGGATCCAAGAGCGCTATACACTAGAGCCAGTTGACTTATTGGCTCTTTCCTTGTGAGTTGGAATTTTTTTCATCTACATTCATTCATTATTGTTCATACCATCTGCAATATGATTGTGTTATATATTGATTACAGGTTGTTGTAAAGTACTGCACTAAGTGCAGCTATCCTCAATATCATTATTTAGGTACATCAGAGCTCCACTTTTTACAATTTCATTGTAGGGGTTAAGGGGATCCCTCACATAAGTGTTGAGCCTATCCCATCCATTGTATTTCTGTGTATACCCTTCTATATTCTATTTATATACAGTGAGCAGCTGGCTGCTCATTGTTTAGAAGACATGCACACACCCATGGCATGGTGGGTAGCAGCATGAGGAAGGTTTTATACCTCCAATATATTAATATGGAGGTACTATTGCCCCAATAGGCTTATTTATTTCCACATTTTTATGTTGCTAGAAATGTTTTGTCTGAAACATATTGTATAAACATAATACGGACTAAGTGAAATGCCAGATGACTGAACTTTGACTTTCCGAAACAAAATTTTATTTTTGGGCAAATCACTTTGGAGAAAGCGGGTTTTTTCGCCTGGCACAAGTCTACACTCCAATGACACCAATTTCTCATGTTACTGCAGAAAAACAACTTCCTATCATCCATATTCGTCACAGTCTTGAAGTCTAGCCGGTCACACATTAACAAAAAAAAAGGTAGGAAACTGGGTTGGGGGTATCATTAATGTTGGATGCAAAATATGCTTTTGCCTATGCTGCTCATTGAACTGCTTTGCTGTAATTTTTTTGGGTGATGTGTACCTGCATATATTCAATGCAGCCATATTGTGTCGTACAATGTCTATGTTTATCTATACTTTGTCAATTAAAACCATGAAAAGGCTCTCTGAGTCGCACACAGTACACTAAGGGGGAGGAAGCGGCACTGCAAAGTCTGTGTGACTCATTCAGTAAAGGAAAGGCAACGCCCGACTGTACAACATTTGGCAATTAATGGTCCTTGTTTAAACATGTAAAAGAAGAGAAAATCTTTTTTAAGGACAATCATAACTCAATGCTTATAAAACAAAGCTAAGACTCAAATCACACAGGTTATCTAAGGGTCTAAAATGACAAACCGTATGCTTCAAAAAATGCACTGTAGAGTATCTATATTGTCCGTGTAATTAGTGAACTGTTACTGTACCAAATAAAATACTGCTATGAGCCTATGAGCAGGCATAACAGCATTCAATCTGATAAAAGGATTACTCCAAATAAAAAACTTTGTTTTACCTCTGTTTCAACACCAAGGCCCAGTTCTCCCGCAAGTCTTATCCCTCGCTGGAGGGAAAGGACCTCCAGGCAGACTGGCTGAGAGTGAACTTGGGCAGTAAAGAGGGGGCCATGCAGGCATTGGTCATCTATCACCTGCATGCTTTGTGTGCTGACAATAGACTTCCAGTATGCACCAAATGCGCATTAACCAGCCCAGATAAAGACGCTCTAACCACGCTGCCAGAGGTGGAGTTACAGCTCCAGAAGCAAAGGGCTTTAACTCTGTGAAACACTGCACATACAGACTCCAAGAAGCACCATGAACATTTTAAATCGCTGATTTGGTCATTTATTAAATTGAGCACCATCCAGCTTGGTTTACCATATCTTTTCTTTCTTGCACTGAGGACATTTTAAATATAGCAAATATTACTCGCAGAAGGCGAGAACAAATTATTGGCAGAAAATGTTTGAAAATATTATTTTAATGAAAACACTAGTCCTGATGTGTGAGTTAGAACGCAGTTACAATGAGATGCTATTTTCTTCAGAGAGCGTGTTTTATCAAAAAAACTAAATCACATAATTTTAAAACCTTGGAAAAAGAATTGTATAACCTCAGGCAAATAATTGGGCCTTTCACAATCCGTTTCGGCAATGATTATAGGTATTAAGAACAAAATGAATATTATACAATTACAACATACCAACATATGGGTTTTGCATTGAGGCGACTGAAACAAACATTTTATTCAAAGGCCAACACGGCCTCGTCTCTGCTAGCTAATAAACTCAGAAAAATTACATATCAATCCAGAACTGATTATTTATTAGATGATCAGAAGAATAAAATAACTTACCCAACAAAAATCTGCAAGATGTTTGCTATTATAAATCTTTATATAATTTGAAAAATGATAGTAATGTGGTACAACCTTCAATTACTAATATAAAAGCATTTTAAATATGGGGGGGCCGAGCTTCCCAGCGAGACGAGCGGACGCCATCTCTCTCAGCTCCTGACAGCTCAAATTAAATCTGTGGATTATCTCCTGATTCAGAGATCATCCATGCAGAGCAGACCCTGCCTTTGCTGCAGAACAGTCTCCTGTACCGGTCTATTCTAGCTGGGAGTCACTACTTGGAGGATCACCTCCTACCAGCAACGCAGACACAATAGCACAACTCCAGCCAGCACTCACAGCCTCCACTTCTAAAATGAGGTGCAATACGCACAAACCCTCGCCCGGAACAGTGCCTGACAGGCAAGATATTAGCTCCATGCTCCAGAGACAGGCTCAGCCCAAATTGGCGACCGGAGAGAGTGTAGATGCACTAGCCCCCTCGGGCCCCCCAGATCATGGTGGGACTAGTTCCTCCCAGGAGCAAGGCCACTTCATACATAGACTCACTGGCTAAAAACCTTGCCACTAAGCAAGACGTTCAGGCATTCCTGCAAGACATTAAAAAGCTGCTTACAACAGACATAGCAGAGAACAAAACGAATGTTCAGCAGGTCACAGATCGAGTGAAGGCCACAGAGGAGGATGTGATGGATATCCCCACGGAGGTTTCCAACATGAAGGACTCACTCCATAAGCACACACCCTTCATCATATAGACTGTCATAGACGCAATCATATTAAAATCAGAGGCATCCCAGCTGAAATCACAACAGAGGAAATACCCCACTACTTAAGATGCCTTATCGCAACTGTACTACCCCTTCAGGTAACTAGAAGATTTGTTATGGATGGGTCATACAGACTCCCAGGTGCAACAAAGTCGCCCAATGTTACACCATGGCATGTAATTCTCCACTGTACATCCTCCCAAGATAAAGGACAGCTTTTGGCTGCACTTAGAGGCAAAACACCATTCCCATTCGAGAACTCACACTTATCTTTTTACCAAGACCTGACAAGAGATACCCTGCAATGGCATGTCTTTAGGCACCATCACGCTCCAGCTCCACTCCGCAGGCCTTGTCTACAGATGCGGGACACCAAGATCTCTGCTGGTGACATATAATGGGAAATTACTGAAGTTTAACTCAGTAACAGAGTTTCCTGAAGGCCTTGGGACTTTCCATTCATACACCCTCTTCAATTCACCAGATGACACCGGGTATCTGGGACCCTGCCAACGTGGTACCCTTTGTACCGAGAACTAGAGAAGAAACCTCACAGGCCACCTGACTACTCTTGGGGTTCCCGGCGATCATCAATGTGCAGACGTCTGCTCACTGTTATGTTTTATGCTTTCTCTTTTCTTTTCTGTTTTGGTTCGTGAATATGTATTTATGTACTGCTACTCATAAGCCCCACGACACCAGACATACTGGCTGAGATACTGCAGAGAACTAGGTCTAATGAGCGTCCACAAGACCATAGACAACAGCGGTCTAACCACCGACTCAGTGCTGGCAAGCACCCTTATCTCCCCCCTGGATAGGGGTACTCACATGAGCTTAAACACCTGAGCCCCTAACTACACTCAGCAACAGCAATCTACAACCCTGAGTTGGTAGAGGTTAACACAGTAAAGGAGTTTAAGCATGCGTGGGATAGGCATAAGGCTATCCTAACTATAAGATAAGGCCAGGGACTAATGAAAGTATTTAGAAAATTGGGCAGACTAGATGGGCCGAATGGTTCTTATCTGCCGTCACATTCTATGTTTCTATGTTTCTGACGGCTCAACATACCAATTTCTAGCTATTCATCTCATACCTTACTCTATGTCTAGAATTTAACCATAGAGTAAGGTATGGTAAGTAATATAATTGTATTGTATTAGAACCATTCCCTGATGGTTCTAATGTACATTTCCAAGAGTGCATTCTGATTTACTTATATTCATTTGGAAGAATAAACTATGTTGAGTTAAATTGACAGTTTTGCAGGCATTAAGGGATTATGGAAGCCTGGGGATGCCAGATTTTAGAAAATATTACCATGCTACTAACGCGGCTACAGCTATCAAATTCAACCTGGACTTTAATAAACCCATTCGATCAAAGATTTAATTTGGCTTCCCTGTTCAAAAACACCTAAATTATATGACAGGTTTCCATCAACAAAAATTTCAATAAAAGCATGGGATATTCTTTTTAAAACTATAAAACCCAATTTAAATTGGTCTTGGGCTATGCCGCTTTCCATTTTGAAACATGATCCTCCAAAATTAGATTAATGAATAGGATGTGAAATCAATGTCTAGTATTGAGAATTTTTTTTTATTTTTAATTTGAGGACATTTGACAAATTAAAAACAAAAAATATGATTTGGAGTATGATCTGGCACCCCAATATTCTGTGATTTCTAAGGCCTTGCAAGAAAAATTTGATATCCCACAATTAGATCAAAAATTGTAAAAAAAAACTGAACATTTCAAATTTGGAAGAAAAATAAGAAACAATATTTTAATGCTATTGTTATTTGTTTTCAACCAATGCAGGCAAATTAGACTTCATGTTGGCATGGAAAAATGATCTGGGCTTTCAGTGAGAACTGGAAGAATGGTTAAGGATATCTACATCCCTTAAAGGTAGAACACACTGCTTTGGCCAAATGGAGAACCATTACAAGAGATTCTACTGTTGGCATCTTGCCCCTTCAAGGCTACACAAAATGAATAAATATTTTTCAGATAGATGCTGAAGGGGTTGCAGTGAACTTCTTTTTACCTCACATTCTAAATGTTCAATTTTAATATAGCAAATATACATCTGAGTGTTCCCTCACCAACTGAGATACGTGTAGTGAGGTATAGTTTTTAAGGGTAAGTAGCTGATTAGGTGCTCAATTTATCAAACCTATTCTGACCAGCAAGTTGGAGATGAGGTGCTATTACTTTTATAGTAAGCCTTAGAACCTGACTTGATTTAGTTTTTTTTTTTTTTTTTTCTCCTGCAGTCCACACACTGGCTTGGAATAAAGGCAGTGCAGTAGCTGTACTGAAACATATAGGTGTTAAGTATCGATGTGTAGGGTTTCTTTGCTAATGTAATCTTTTAATAATGTGAATGAGGCTGCCTTCAGGGAATACATTTCAATCTGCAGGACAGTCTATTCTTCAGTAAAATAGAGTACTGAGAGCTACGCTATTGAAAGAGCCTGGTACCCTGTGTCTGCATGTGAGATAATTTGTCCTTTGTTCAGTTATTGGTATTGCTGTGACACAAGAGATACTTGTAAATATCACAGCATGAAAAATACATTTTGCATTTCTTGAAGGTTGTCCATGTGCAGAGCACTGTTGACACTTTATATGTACAGTAAATCCCTGCACATTTCAGAGCTTGTACAGCCTTTAAAGGGGGACACCATAGAATAAACCCAGGACAGGGTTTCAAGTCGAGACTGCCCTGCCTTTTCTTATTTTTGATAAATATTACAATTATATGTAAGAAATAAAACTACAAATAACCAAAGCTAAATATAAATTTATTAGCATCTTATCTGTAACAAATGCTGAACAAGCACCATGTAGCAGAATTGAATGACTATGTTATAAGATGGCCTTGCAAAAAAATAAATTAATGACATTATGTTTTAGGTAATCCCAGTATGGCTTTTATTTATCAAATTCAACATTCTCTTATCTATATATAAAGATATATATCTTCACAATATTCTGTATATCTCCCAGTGCAAGAAAAACAGTGAGGATATCCTCAACAGAGCAGGATGATTTGTACATTTCAGATCATTTCTACCAAGGTGGTGTGAAGCTTTGTCACAAGACTTGTTCTTAATCTCTCCCCATAAGCAGTTTTGTAGTGAATATCCGTTTAATTTTTTTGTCATATTTTAGGTGTGAAATATTTTTTTCCTGAGATAAAACACTTTTATAATCACAAACATGGCTAAATATAACATTTTCCTGACGATTATGATTGTCTGTTATTGTTCCGTTGAAGTTGACATACTAGGTTTGAAATTTTGCAACTTGAGAGCCATATGGTAGAAGCTTGTAATGCTAAATATTTTTCTTACTTAAAATGGCTGTGGTATTACTTAAAGGTACACTGTAACTGCTTGATCTCATTAAAGTGGTTATAGTGTCTTGAGTACCCTGGCGCAGTCCTTTCATTTAGCGTTACAGTGTAATTCTAAACTACAGTCTCCAGCAGCCCATTTCCTCTATGCCACTTGGTATAAACAGAAATGGGCATCTGTTAATAGCTGGGAGTGTCAGTTGACCTCTTTCAGTATAGAATAGCTCCCTTTGCTAGTAGGAGTGGTCATGGCTAGAAGAAGATATACCTGCAAAAGACGCCAGGATGTGGGCAGCTACAGGCCCTCACATTCAGTGTTAAACAGTTTTAAAATGGTTTAACACTGAATGAAAAGAGACAGGTGACTTAGCACTTTAACCATTTTACACAGATAAAATGATTGTATTTCCTACAGTGCCACTTTAAGTTTCAGAAAAGAGGAATTATTTCAGACAGAAAATGACAGCAGATAAGCTACAGAATTCTCATTTAGTGCCAACATCTTTTTCAAGGGAACTTTTTGCCACATTTGTATTTTGTGACTGATCGTTTATGGCTTTAAAAAAGGATTTAAAACCCCATACTTGGTTGTTTTATCTGATAACATTATTTTTTTGGGAAAGTCTGAACAATAGCGGACATGCTGTGCTAGTGGTAAAAAAGACATACAAAACTAAAATGTGCAATCAAATTCTTTGATTTTAAATGTGTCAGGAATGAATCAGCCCTATTAATTCTTTTACAATGGTCTCAAAACACACCGAATACTTCCCAAACATTAAATTTACATTTTCCAATAATACTCAGAAAATGTTTTCTATGCAACTCAAGCAAGATTCACCCTAAATGGCAATTTAAGAAGTACACTTTTTTTTTTTTCCTTTTTTTTTTTTTAATTGTGGATTATTAAACCGTGGGATATCCAGCTATACATTAATCAACATTTTTTATTATTATTTTCCCCAAAGATTTCCTCAGTCATCACATGTTTATTTTCCAATGTAATTATATATTTCCAATAAAGGACTTTTCTCCAATTATTATAAAACACGTTACTTTGACAATAATGGTCTGTAGCAATCTTCTTGGAATCCCAATAAACCTTCCTTTATTTGCAAGGGCCAAGCCATTTTATCTCATAATCACAATCCCTTTCTTTCTAAGTTTTCTATGATTGACTGCAGTTTTTTCACAGCTTCTCTCCGTGCTTGGCGAACATTATCCAGTCCACTGGTTTCTACTGAATCCAATTCCAGTAGTTCCTTGGTTAAAAGTTCTTCTAAACATCGATAACTCATGTCAGTTTTCTTTCCTACAAACTCATCCACTTCTCTTTCCAAGTCTACAATCCTCTCCAACACCTGGTTGATTTTAAGAATACCTGGGTGGTTGCTTGAATTGTCATGGGATGGGTTCCCTTCAGTGGTCCTAGATTCCTGGCTTGCAGGGTCCTTTCTATTGTACATTTGTGGTGAAGCACTATAATGTGGGTTTGGTGGATTGGGCTTGTGTTCAGTTGGGTTTGCTTGTGGGTTGTCAGGATAACTCTGATATGGTCTTTGTCGGTTATAACTGGATGCCTGAGAATCATCCTTAGGAGAAAAATAAAGATAAAAACTCAAGTCAATCATGTTAATAAATCATTCAATTTCAGTGATAACATTTTCTAGTGCATAATGGTCATAACAACCACACCCATTTCCCATATGTAGTGATTTACCACTGGCACAGCATTCAATTCAGTTTTCTCTATGTGAGAATTTCAGAAACCACAGATGGGAATAGGACTCTGACTGACTGTGCCGGAAGGTGCCTACTTGCATTTCATACTTGTTTGTGCGAGTGCAGCAGATTTAGCAACTTTAATTTTTTTATTGCATATTTTCAATGTGACTCCTGCCAATTATGTGCTTTTAATGGTAGTCATAGGATCAGAGTAATTTGATCTTGCTATTCCATTTATTTTTCCAGTGTAAATAATAAACCATGATACTTACTCTGACCCCCTAGGATAACATACCTTCGTATCATAGGTTCCTGGCTGCACGTCTGCTCCTTGCCAAGATGGTCTACTGCCACTTACATAATGATTTCCAGATTGGTTGGGAGGCACAGGAGGAGCTGTTGGCCACTGGTAATGGTTGTGAGCACCATAAACACCCCAACCTTCACCTTGAGGGTTTTGCTGAGGCATTGCCTGCTGCGGGAGGCCAGGAGTAGTTTCACAATATGGATATGGAGGCATAGCATCCTGCAGAGGACATATGAAACATATATAAACACATGAAAGCTAGTCAGTTTGTTCTATAGATTTAGATTTACTATATGTGGTTTCTAGGAGAATTCTTTTTCGGTTGGCATAAATTGAGTGTTGCTTGGGTTTAGTACTGAATCCACTGGCAATTCATGAACCCTCACCCTGATTTTCCCATAATCTTGTGACATCAGAAAGAAACCAGGGAGGTAAGAGCTCAAAGAGATTGGGTCATGAATGAAAATGTACCTTTGGTGCTTAAACAAGAATAGTGATAATCTAGCAGGATGAATGTATTTTCTATTTTCCTGTAGATCTTCGAGTAATAGTGGTATTAATATCCAACTAAATGATACTCCTTGTTAAATCCTACTTTAAAACAGTTTGAACAAGTACTAGAGTTAATAAAGCAGGAGCACTAACTGTTGAACTATTGTTGATATTAAATTTGTTTTTGATAAATTTCAGGTCGTATCAGGACTTTACAAATGCGAGTGCTAAAAAAAACCCCAACTAATATTTATAAAGTTAACATTTTGCAGCTCAACATAGACATTGATGCATTAGAACTACAATAAGAATACATTCCTTCCAACTGCCCTGAACCCAAAACCCTACTCAATTTGGATCAGTGGGACTGGATTATTGCAGTGGCATACTGAATAAAACTAGTTAAACATTCACTTGGGCATGTAATAACCTGGCAAAATACACAAATATCTGTATGCATATAAACTGAAATGTGTATTTTTATGATATATCTCCAAACTGTGCAATCATATCTCAAATTGGACTTTGGAAAGTCCCCCTTGGACACAGAACCTCAAGAAATTGTGTTTCTGCAATATCCCAGAGTTCCTTTTTATGTTAAACTGGAAATTCTGAGATAGTCATGGAAACAGGATTTCTTGAGTCTCTGTGCCCAAGGGAAACATTCCAGAGACCAACATCAGATATGCAGCTGATGCACAGCAGACATGTTTCTATTTGCACAGTGGAGAATTGTATTGTGTTTGGTCTCACCACAATCTTTTTGTCATCTAGCTATTTGCTCTCAGAGACACTTTAACTTGCAGACTAGAACCAATGTCATGTTGACAAAAAGATCAAAACTGTATAGTCCATGGCTTATTTCCGATCCTTTTGGATCACAGCCCCTGCTATGGTTTAAAACAGTCCATTGCAAAGGGTATCTGCAGAAATTTCTAGATAAAGTCTAAAACACAAAGACTGTCTGCGCTCATTTGCATGTCAAATTGGGAACGATCGTATAGTTGTTAAAACACGACTTCACGAATTTCTATGCCCAAGGCGGTTTTCCAAAGTCCTACTTAAAATATACAGATCTACAACTGTAGACACAAAAAAATATGATATAGGTGTCTTTAGAGAGTCATGGCTCAGATGTAGCCCGAACTAACAAGATACTAGGGAAACAGTTCAATCTGACTACAAGTGGGCTACTGGAACAAACAATTCATGTACACAAAGTAAGAGCCTGCTTGACTATTACTACAACAGTGCAGACACAGGGGCTACATGAAACATATCTGTGAATTATGGATTAATAAGAACAATCATGTACACTAAAACCAACACCGATAGTTACACAAGGGTTCAGCATAGTCAAGAGGAAACTAGTGTCACAGCTAAAATCCAGACCAAAATTCCAGCCCCAATGCACTGTTGAATATATAGATGACTTGCATCCATCGATTTCAGCCTAATTAAGAGGGAACAATGTCCGGATAATGCAATTCGAATGGACCATATGCAGCCATATGGTTTTGCCTTGTTCAGTATAGGGTTATTTGGACTTCAGTGAAGAACTCTATAAGAGAATAAATGCCCTTTTTAATCAAAGAATCACCCTAGACCTACCCAGAGGTAAGACCAAACTGTATAGGAGGGTATAGAAGACAATACATGAACAATACTCAGAAGGGGATTCGAAACAACACCAGAGTTTCAAAATACCAGCTGCTGGTAGACCAAGCAGTCACACTCAATTTCAAAACCAGACAGACTACAAGACAGCTTATGGCACAGTGCTACACACACAGAGATACTGGAATGCTTGGCTCTATACAAATTCAACAAGACAATAAGAGCCATCATCAAAAAACTTGATGGGCAAGTGGAGAACAAACTTAGAAACCAATTTCAGGACATTTACACAAGTAAAGATCAAATGTGGCATGTACCAAGGAATGTGCGATCCCTGATGCTGTTCTGCGTAAGTTTCAACCCTTTTAATCTAATCAACATGACGAATGGATATGGATACAGGTTCAAGAGTGGAGCTACCTTCCTCTACATGGACAACATCAAGCTTTATACCAAGAGTGAGCAGGCATCGACTCACTGATGGCTGTACCATCTACTTTGGGAGAGTAGCTTCAGCAGCTTCCGGGTGGGACATGTGATATATTTGCAGAAGAGTGCAAACCTAGGAACAGCTAAGAACCCTCCCAGGCAGCTGATAGTGGACCCAAAAATGAGGGATATGCAAAATAACCCCCACAGGGGTGTGAGCATTTTATATAAATTATATACCTTTTAGTCTCAAGTAGACTGACTATACCAAAAAACATTACCACCAGTTTAATGCATAAAAATAGAATATTTCCGATACAAACAAAATTACTACTCACCTGATGACTTGGGTATTGAGGATAACTTGGAGCCTGTGGAGATAAATTGTGCCCACCATGTTGTGTGTATCCCCAGTGAGGAGGAGCTTGGTGGGTCCCACTTGACTGCTTGTAGGGATCCACTGGATAAGGAGGCTGTGAAGGAGGAGGGTAGTATGGATTTGGTGGGGGACATCCAGGGTATTGGGGATTCATTGAAGCTTGGGTATAATGGGGTCCATATGAACCATTTGCATAAGGTTCCATCCTCTGCAAAGATAAGTAATCAGGATTATTCCATGTACAGATTTTATAATTTACACATTTTGGATACCCCATTCTAAGCAGTCAACAGCAGCATATATTAAGGAAATCACCTGTGGAAAAGCACATTCTTTAACCCCTTAAGGACGCATGATGGACAATTTCTGTCATGCATGTCTTTCACTTAAGCACACACACACACAATGGAAAATTTCCATAATGCAGTATTTTTCTAGCAGGGACAGTTTCCCTGCTGGTAACTTGTAACCCCAGGTATAATTTGAATTAGTGGCTCCAGACTGGCCAATACCTGAGACTCACTTGCATCAACTGAAGCAATTTTTAGTGGCTCCAGACATTTTGATGCACTGCATGCAGTGCTGAAAGTCATCATTTGATGTATCCCTTTACCTCCATAATGAACAAGCTCAGCTACAGTCATTCTCTTACTGCATATGGTGCTTGGCTTAGACATGGGATTATGGTATAGGTTAGGATTTGGGTGAAATTTGGGATTAGATTTAGGATTAAGATTGTTACTTTCCAAAGAAATACATATGGGGTATTGTTGTACACAGGAGATGTTGCAGAGTACAGCTAAGATAATTTTATTACAGTGGGACACATGAGATTTTAAAAAATAAGCATCATGAATACTAAGTGTATGTAAAAATAAAAAAATTTAAATACCACAAACATATGGAAAAAAAAACACACCATCATTAAAGCTCAAAACATTATGTGAGAGTTCCCATTGTGACCACTTATGCAAATCGCATAATTTAAATATATGAGCCACTAAAAATGACCCAAGATTTACCAAATACACATCTTCAATTTGCCATTTTTCCCAAAATTTGTACTAGGCAGTATATAATTTTAGTCCTGTATATTGTACAAACACCTTGCAAAGAGGTATACAAATGGGAGTCATTCTGTACCCCGGAAATAGAGCTGAGCATAAGTTAGTGATTTTTACTAAGTAGCATATATCAAGTTTACAAAATAAACAGCTATTGTGCAATGTGTGTATACAAAACTGCAAAAATAAAATCTGAAAGACATTGGTGCTAAAATGGATACATAATAAGGCTTAAAATATACCATATGACATAACCTCTGGTGTCCACTTTCACCCATCATGGTATGCATTTATGGGGTAATTGTACTCAGAAGATGTAGCTGAACACAAATAGGGTTTCTACAGGAGTAGTACACATAAGGGTTACCAAATACACATAAAGCAACCTTGTTTTATGTGTGTTTGTTAAAAATCTTTATACATTTTTATTTTATTTTTATTTTTTAAATTACTACTATATTTTGGCTGTTAAATGTATATGTAACAGAATGTCAAAATACTCTTATGTAAATAGCCTGTGATATCTGCTTTATATAAATATGTGCATTTGTGGGGCAATTTTGTTTTCTGTGATGACTAATAAGCTTACAAGACAAACACGACACATCTTACAAGACAAACATACAAAAATATAAAATCGCTCTACGTTGACATTTGATTTTAATCTTTTTATTTTATGACCTGTAACTACCAAAAATAAACTGAAATCTAGACATATTATGCATTCTGTAAATAATGACAAATTAGTTTATTCTGAATTACTTTTCTTAAGCTGCACTAATTACCGTAAATACTCTAGTATAAGTCGACCCGAATATAAGCCGAGGCCCCTAATTTTACCACAAAAAAATGGGAAAAGCATTTATAACAGTGGCCTTAAACTATATAGACTGTAAGCTTGTTTGAGCAGTGTCCTCATCAACCTACTGTTCCTGTAACATTATGTAATTGTCTCATTTATTGTTAAAATTTCCCCCTCTTTATAATATTATAAAGTGCTGTGGAATATGTTGGCACTATATAAATGCCAAAATTAATAATAATATACTGCAATAACAATATTTGTTTTTGTTATTTCTGATCAATGAAACATTGCTGACATTGTTTAGACATGATGATAAATGCCTCAGGCATATCATAAATAATTATGTTGGCTATTTTATGAATCAACTCAATGACAAATAGCTGCAATTTGACAGCCAAGACATGCTTCATAATATTCAGTTAAAAATATCAATGTATTAGCTAGATGATGCTTAGATATGCTGATAACTTAGCATTTTAAGAAATTTACTGCTGATGTTTAATTAGCGGAGCTAATTAAGAGGACAAAAAAACAGAAACAAAAACCTTATTACAACAACACACGTGTATATATATATATATACACACACACACACATACATACACACACACACACACACACACACACACCGTATATACTAGAGTATAAGTCGAGCCAAATATAAGCAGAGGCCCCTGATTTTACCACAAAAAAGTGGAAAACTTTTTGACTCGAGTATAAGCCTAGGGTGGGAAATGCAGCAGCTACTGGTAAATTTCTAAATAAAATTATATCCCAATAAAATTACATTAATTGAATATGTATTTACAGTGTGTGTATATAATGAATTCAGTGTGTGTGTATATAATGCAGTGTGTGTATGTTTGTGTAGTGTGTGTAAACTGGGTGAGGGGAGGGCATTTTTATTATGAAAATGTTTTTATTTTAATATTATTATATTTTAATATTATTATTTTAATATTTGTATTATTTTTTATTTTATTTTAATGTCCCCCCTCCCTGCTTGTTGCCTGGCCAGGGAAGAGGCTATGTAAATCCCTGGTGGTCCAGTGGTGTGTACTATGTGGGGGGTTGGGGGGCAGGAGCAAGCTGTTACTTATGTTTACAGAAGCTCTGGTCAGCTCCCCCGTTCAGCTCCCAGTGTAAGACTCGCGGTCTGCGTGCCGAGCGGAGCTCGCGAGACTTACACTGGGAGCTGAACGGAGGAGCTGCACGGAGGTGAAGTGAGCTGAACGGAGCTGCTGTAAAGGTAAGTAACAGCTCGCTGCCAGCCCCCAACAGGACCGCCGGGATTGTAATGAGCCCGGCTGTTCTGGTCTGTATTATGGCAATGTAAGTTGCCAGAATACAGACATTGACTCGAGTATAAGCCGAGCGGGGGGTTTTCAGCCAAAAAAAAATGTGCCGAAAAACTCGGCTTATACTCGAGTATATACGGTATGCACATTATTTACTGACAAAACTGTGGGGGTATGAGGGACTAAATCTTTTGATTAATTCATTTTTTTTATTATTATTTTTTTAAATAAAAGAGAATGTCCATGTTCTTAAGGGGTTAAATGAACAGTGTTAAGAAGGGACAGCAGAGGACAAAGTACATTGAAGAGGATCAATGGAAATGGAAAGTTTAACAAGCTAAAGCAAGTGAGGAAAACTGGAACAATGAAAAAAAACACATCAGGAATAAAACCAAAACAAAACAACCCAATCCCCCCCAAGAACTCCAATGTTTTGTACATGAGTACCTCAGATCCACCTTGATAATTTGGGTGATAGGGATGTCGTGGATGGCTTGAGCAGGACCAAGAACTGGGATTGTAATTAGGACATGGTGAATTCTGCCAAAGAGAGGCAAGAAAAGCATTACAATAATACTTTCTACAACATAGATCAAGAGCAATGCTTACATATTTCATATGAACATCACAGGGGAAAATTAATAGTCACCATTAAAAATAATAAGAATTCTAATCCTATACAGTGTTATATTTTCAATTTCCAAAATTAAAATTACCCAAACCAATATTTCAATACCTTTTAGGTTTTAAAATATCCACTCTGTGGTAAGCGATACAGAAACAGACATATTCTTCCTGTTAACCCCTTCAGGACGGAGCCAATAGTACACATTCTGATCAAAACAAAACGTAAACAAAAACTGGAATTTGCACTATATGTCTGTTCAACCGTAATTCACCTCTTTCATATTAAATACACCCACACATTATATATATATATATATATATCTCTCATTTTGTTCAGGAGAAACAGGGCTTCAATTTCATATCAAATATTTATATATGAAACAATTTATTATGAATAAAAAAAAAAAAAAAGAAATTTAAAAAAAAAAAAAATTAAAAAATTTGTAGTTCCGCCTCATATTTTAGCTGTAAATGTCATAATACTGTTCGGTTTTACTGCAAAAAAATGCACATATTTGTAATCAGCGATGTCTCACAAGTACAACAGTACCCCCCATTAACAGGTTTTATGGTGTTTTGGAAAGTTACAGGGTCAAATATAGCACATTACATTTTCAAATTGAAATTTGCCAGATTAGTAATATTACCTTTGAGATGGTGTGGTAGCCCAGGAATGGGAATTACCCCCATAATGGCATACCATTTGAAAAAGTAGACAACCCAAGGTATTGAAAGGGGGTATGTCTAGTCTTTTTTAGTAGCCACTTAGTCACAAACACTGGCCAAAGTTAGCGTTCATATTTGTTTTTGTGTGAAAAAAAGCAAAAAACTAATATTTGGCCAGTGTTGTGGCTACTAAGAAAGACTGGACATACCCCACTTGCAGTACCTTTGGTTGTCTACTTTTGCAAATGGTATGCCATCATGGGGGTAATTCTCATTCCTGGGCTACCATACACTCTCAAAAGCAACATAACCAATCTGGCAATTTTCAATGTAAAAAAAATGAAATGCAAGCCTTATATGTGACTCTCTAACTTTCCAAAACACCATAAAACCTGTACCTGGGGGGGTACTGTTATTCTCGGGAGACTTCACTAAACACAAATATTAGTGTTTTAAAACAGTAAAACATATTACAACAATAATATAGTCCATAAAAGTGCCGTTTGTTTGTAAAAAAATGCAAAAAACTTCACTTTTACTTAAAATATCATCGTTGTAATATAATTTATCATTATTCTTAACATGTGAAGGGTTAAAACCTGAGGGACCTTCCACCCAGACCACTTCTTTGAGCTGAAGTGGTCTGGGTGACTATAGTGTCCCTTTAAACTATAGAGAGGGCAGGGTTAATTATGTAAAGTTAGAACCTACAGTTGTGTGTGACAGCAGTGCCAAGTATACAGTCTCATGGGTTCGTTCCCCATTATGCCTTCATCTACCCCATAGCGGCTGATGTATATGCAAATTTCTTCCTTCTCTCAACACCTTTGTCTTACTTGCTCTCTCACTGATTTGATAATGCTGTAAAGCCTGCTTCTGCCCCTTTAACTGCTACCTAAAACTTAAGCCTACACGCCTGCATGGAAAAGTAGCAGTACGACTTAAATACCCCTTACCTGTTCTTTTCAAAATAAGAAAGCATTTATAACAGTGGCCTTAAACTATATAGACTGTAAGTTTGTTTGAGCAGTGTCCTCATCAACCTACTGTTCCTGTAACATTATGTAATTGTCTCATTTATTGTTAAAATTTCCCCCTCTTTATAATATTATAAAGTGCTGTGGAATATGTTGGCACTATATAAATGCCAATAATAATAATAATAATAATATACTGCAATAACAATATTTGTTTTTGTTATTTCTGATCAATGAAACATTGCTGACATTGTTTAGACATGATGATAAATGTCTCAGGCATATCATAAATAATTATGTTGGCTATTTTATGAATCAACTCAATGACAAATAGCTGCAATTTGACAGCCAAGACATGCCTCATAATATTCAGTTAAAAATATCAATGTATTAGCTAGATGATGCTTAGATATGCTGATAACTTAGCATTTTAAGAAATTTACTGCTGATTTTTAATTAGCGGAGCTAATTAAGAGGACAAAAAACAGAAACAAAAACCTTATTACAACAACACACGTGTATATATATATACACACACACACATACACACACACACACACACACACACACACACACACACACACACAGTATATACTAGAGTATAAGTCGAGCCGAATATAAGCAGAGGCCCCTGATTTTACCACAAAAAACTGGAAAACGTATTGACTCGAGTATAAGCCTAGGGTGGGAAATGCAGCAGCTACTGGTAAATTTCCAAATAAAATTAGATCCCAATAAAATTACATTAATTTAATATTTACAGTGTATGTATATAATGAATGCAGAGTATGTGTATATAGTGAATTCAGTGTGTGTTTGTATGAATGCAGTGTGTGTATATAATGCAAAGTGTGTGTGTGTGTGTGTGTGTTTTTGTGTAGTGTGTGTCAGCAGCACAACCCATTACAAACAAAATATTAAAATAATTTTAAAAAATTGACAATATTAAAATAAAAATGCCCTCCCCCCACCCAAACTGGGTGGGGGGAGGGCATTTTTATTTTAATATTGTCAATTTTTTAAAATTATTTTAATATTTTGTTTGTAATGGGTTGTGCTGCTGACATGGTAGGTGGTTGAATCCATTTATTAATTATACAGTACAGTATTTTTTTCTCTAGCACAAGTAACTGAATTCTCACAATGTGATTTCTTTACTCCATATAATGTATGTGTTTCCCATGATGTGATAGTTTGAGAGGCTTTTTTTTTTTTTTTATCCCTTTACTTCCTTAAGTTCCTTTTGTTTTGTATTATGTTCAGGGATAACCTGTGGCAACAATGACGGGCGCGGGTCTCGCAAGATTTACACAGTGAGTTGAACGGAACGGAGGTGAAGGGAGATGACCGGAGCAGCTGCGTAGGTAACAGCTTCCTCCGGCCCCCAACAGGACCGCTGGGCTTGTAATGAGCCCGGCGGTCCTGGTCTGTATTATGGCAATGTAACTTGCCATAATACAGACAGTGACTCGAGTATGTGCCGAGGGGGGCTTTTTCAGCACAAAAAATGTGCCGAAAAACTCAGCTTATACTCAATATATATATATATATATATATATATATATATATATATATATATATATATATATATTTTTTTTTTTTAATACAATGTTAAACAAAAATCTGTACACCAGTCAAGTCATAAGCCTTTTCCACAGAAATCACAAATCTGCAGTGATGTTAATACCGCAAAGGATTCTGTGTGGGCATATGCAACTTAGTTTAAAGGAACACTATATGGTCAGGAACAGAAACATGAAATCCTGACCCTAAAAGGTTAAAACCACCATCTAGCCACCCTGGTCCCCTCATGCCTCCCTAAATGTAGTATATCTTACTTGTATTCAAACCTGAAGCTGCTGGCTTAGTCCCTGTTTCCTTTTGACCTGCCCACTGCCATCAGCCTAGGTTGCAATGCTGCTGCCCATCCCATGTGTTCCCTATTAAGGGTTAATAAGCATGTAGTAATGTATATAAAACATACCCCTTTCTGTCTCATTAGAGATATTTTTGCCAGAAGCTCAAGGAAGCAAGGCAAATGGAGTTAGGACCCACCTAAGAGGTCTGCCTTGATGTGGCAGGTGGGTTTACCCTCTCATGGCCATTGGAGGTAACTAAAAATCTCAATTTTTTAAAAAAATACATAGGGATGTGGAAAGAGCGCAGGTAACTTTTTTCCTTTGGTTTTTACAAATGAAAACGTGAATGCATTTAAGGACACATGATGGAAATATTCCATCATGATTCCCTTTTATTCCAGAAGTTGTGTCCTTAAAGAGTTAATCGTTAATAATAAAAAAAATTTTAATTGTAGGTTTATCTAAAGACTGCTGGCAAAACCTGCAGTTCTCTTGTCTGCTTCCTTTGCAAACCCTCCTCTTCTCACCCCGTCCAGACATTCTGTGGCTGTCCAATCACGGACTTCAGACTGTTTTGTTTTTTTCAGGAGCCAGAAATCAGTGTATCTACAGTGACTTTGTTTAAAGAAGCACTGTATGTCTTTATGAAAACAAAAACAAAAAAAACCCTGGGAAAAATGGCTAACTGGCTTTTAAAATTTGTCCTCATGGTATTGCATTATAAATGTAAAATGCAATGAGTCATGGTAACCCTGCTTCTTCTTCAATGAAGGACAAACACATAAAAGGTTGATTTACAGGTCACGTGGAAAAACCTTACCTGTCTAGATCTGCTTACAAGTATGACACATAATTACACACTTATAATAGGTTGGAGTGAATAGATTAGACATCTCAGGACAATGACATTTTATTAAGGAGTTAAGGGACAAACAAAAATTTACATTATAGGGGATTGTTTTATCAAATAATCCCCCAAATGTTATCAAAATCACCTCACATGAAAACAGGTAAATCCGTGGACTTGACACTCACGGAAAAGTTTTTGATTTTTCATTTAGCTGCCCGCCACTTTCCTGCCTTTAGAATGTTCAATGCCCATAGTTTGATGTCCCAATCAATAGAGCATAAGTTTGCAGCAGATGCTGCCGACCTTCTTTTTGCAGTTACCAATTCAAAAGACACTTCCACACACATTCTGTTCAAGCTCCACACCTATGGAAAACTATCGATAAACTATCAAATCCTTAATCATTAATTTAAGATATAATATAGGAAAAACGGAATGAGATAGAGATAAGAAACAGAACAAAATATTATGTATGTAGAGACAGTATGTGTATACTTAAAATCAATACAACAAAAAGTGTTTTGTTTTTTTTTTATACAAAAGAACAATATATTTTTAAACAAAAGGGCAAATGTATTCTTAATTACACAGTAGAGGTAATCAAATCTATTACTTTCTGAATTCAGCATCAGTAATTGCAAAGAGAACCCTACCTTTGAAATTCAGATCTTAGAACAATGAGAAGTATCTCTTCTGAGAGGAGCGCTCAGCAGAAAGTTTCACTTGATACTAAAAGGTTGCCTTTTTAATACCTTGCCGCATGGTTAATTAGAAAGAGGAGTCATAAGGAAGTAGATTACAAACAGCCAGAGGTATGAAATTATGAAAAGCATGTGCCAGAATTACTGATGTTCCCATGACATCATTCCTGCAGCCAGTCACTTTATAGAAGCGTTATATAATAATAGGAGGGCTAATTGGATAATCTGTATGCATGTTCACATGTGTACATACACCAAAAAAAATTATTTAACCCCTTAAGGAATGAGCCAAATGTACACGTTTTGATTAAAATAAAAAAAGTAAACAAACCTTGGAATTTGACTATATGTCTGTTCAACCGTAATTCACCTCTTTCATATATTTCGTCTAAGCCCTTACGATCTGCTGAAGACTTACGTCTATCTTCTGTCCGTACTCCCACCTCTGATGCTCGCCTTCAAGATTTCTCAAAGGCTGCACCTTTCCTGTGGAACTCGCTTCCCTCCTCCGTTAGATGCTCACCCAGTCTCCACGTCTTCAAAAAAATTGTTAAAAACCCACTTCTTCATAAAAGCGTATCAATTAAACTGTTAATAGCTCCTGACTGATTCCTCTTCTGCAACTGTCATTAGTCTAATACTATCCTTACCTTTTTGTGTCATTTTACCCCACTCCCTCTAGCATGTAAGCTCATTGAGCAGGGCCCTCAACCCCTCTGTTTCTGTGTGTCCAACTTGTCTGGTTACAACTACATGTCTGTTCGTCCGCCCATTGTAAAGCGCTGCGGAATTTGACGGCGCTCTATAAATTTAATAATAATAATAATAATAATAATAAATAATAATAAGTGACCCACACTTATTATATATCATTTTATTCAGGAGAAATAGGGCATTCATTTAACACCAAATATTTAGCAATGAAACATAATTTAATATGAATAAAATATATTTTTAAAAATTGAGAAATTAAGAAATTGTTATATTTTTAGTTCTGCATGACATTTTAAATGTGAATGTCATAATACTGTTTGCTTTTACTGCAATAAAATACACATATTTGTATTTAGCAATGACTCACATGTAAAACAGTAACCCCTATGTATATGTACAGGTTATATGGGATTTTAGGAAGCTACATGGTAAAATATAGCATTTTAAATTTTTCAGTTTTTTTCACATTGAAATTCGCCAGATTGGTTACCTTGACTTTGAGACCATATGGTAGCCCAGGAATGAAAATTACCCCCATGATTGCAAACCATTTGCAATAGCAAATAGTAACAATTGCAAATGGGGTATGTCCAGTCTTTTAGTAGCCACTTGGTCACAAACACTGGCCAAAGTTAGCGTTATTTGTTTGTGTGTGCAAAATGCAAAAAAATTATTTGTACGCCAATTTTGGCCAGTGTTTGTGACTAAGTGGCTACTAAAAAAAGACTGGACATACCCCATTTGCAATACCTTGGGTTGTCTTCTTTTGCAAATTGTATGCCATCATGGGGGTATTCTAATTCCTGGCTACCATACGGTCTCAAAAGCAACGTAACCAATCTGGCAAATTTCAATGTGAAAAAAATGAAAAAAAAATTTCCCCCCCTGCTGGCACTGCTATGGACTGCCATTACGTCCATGTGATCATGAGGACCTGGCGATCACATGGCCCAGGAAGGCCGGATCGGCAGCAGGGGGACTCCCTGGGATGCCAGGTAAGTCCCCCAATCGCAATGCCGGTGAGCAGGTAACTGGCCAGGACAGCAAGGACGTGCTATGCCGCCCCTGTTTAGAGCCGGGTCCCCAAGGATGGCTTAGCACGCCCGCCGTCCTTAAGGGGTTACTAATTCGCCAAAGAATGATTCAATTAACCTTCTTTACTAAGCAAGGGAGTATATCTTGTAGTTAAGATGCTCGCTGCCCAACCTTTCAGGATCATTAGGCTTACTTAACCCCTATATTTAACAAATATGTGTTTGCAAGATATCACATTTTGCACTCAGTGATTTAAGTGGTTCTGGTGGTAGGAGTGTGTATGTGCAGTGTTTCTCCTTGAAGCACTGCATATCCAGAGTAGTTTTTAAAAAGGAACACTATAGGGTCAGAAACACAAACATGTATTCCTGACCCTACAGTGTTAAAACCATCATCTTGGCCCCTTCTTGCGTCCCTAAATATAGTAAAATCTCATTTGTATTCAAGTCTTCAGTGGCTAGCTCTGATCCTGTCTGCCTCTAAACTCTGACATCATTAGAAGTGGTGGTCTGAACCAATCACAGTGCTTCCCCATAGGATTGGCTTAGACTGTCAAGGAGACAGATCAGGGGCAGAGCCAGCACAAGTCAAACACAGCCCTGGCCAATCAGCATCTCCTCAGAGAAGAATTGAATCAATGCATCTATGAGAAAAGTTCAGTGTCTGCATGCAGAGCGTGGAGACACTGAATGTTATGATGCATTTTAGGCAGGACTACCCAAGGAAGCACCTCTAGTAGCCATCTGAGGAGAGGCCAGTGAAGTTATCAATAGGCTGTAATGTAAATACTGCATTTTATCTGAAAAGACAGTGTTTACTGCAAAAAGCCTGAAGGGAATGATTCTATTCACCAGAAATTATGCAATAAGCTGTAGTTGTCCTGGTGACTATAGTGTCCCTTTAACCCCTTAATTGAATGATATTGGCAGCCCAGGCCAATGTCAATTCTGTGCATATAAAAATGTCTCGTCAGTGTTCATTGCACACGTTGCCAAAATACGGTATAAGCTTCCCCTTGCAGCAGAGGAACTTCAAGAGGAAGATTGCTTCCCCCTCCCACCCAAGGTGTGCTCCTTCTGCAAATTGTAAGTGGTCTTTTTTTTTTTTATTATTTTTTAAATTAAAGGATCACAATAGGGTCAGGAATATAAAAATGTATTCCTGACCCTATAGTGACCCCCCCCCAGCCCCCTCAGAATGGGTTAAAACATACCTTATTTCCAGCTCTCCACGGGTCTGCCGGCACTGGACCCGCCCCCTTGGTGACATCAAAATTGGAGATTTTTAGCCAATCCAATATGTTCTATGGGGAAAGCATTGGCTAAAATCGGCAAGGGTGCGGCCAAACACTGTTTTCGCCAATCAGCACCTCCTCATAGAGGAAAATTCAGCATCCCAATGCAGAGCCTGAGCCAAGAAGCTCCTCCTGTGGCCATCTGAGGAGTGGCCACTTGGAGGTGTCCCTAGGGGCAATGTAAACACTGCTCTTTCTCTGAAAAGGTAGTGTTTGCATAAAAATGCCTGAAGGGAGCTATTATACTCACCAGAACTACATTAAGCTGTAGTTGTTCTGGTGACTATAGTGTCCCTTTAATTCTCCCACACTCACTCTTTTTCTCCCTCTTCCCTGGCCGGCAAAAATGTCCATTAACAGGTTTCTCTATAAGAAACCGATGATTATTCTGTGCAAATGCCAAGTGACATCATGACAGGGCATGGCAGATCAGCGCCAGGACCTTGTCGACTTACCGGTGCTGTCTGGAGATCTAAAGGGCACATGCTACCAAGGGAAACATCGTGAATTTCCCAAGCTACGTCCGCACCTTCTTCTGTACAGACAGAGAGAGGAGCTTACTGTAGTCACAAACCGGGTGAAGGTCACAGAAAATGATGTCTCTTCCACTGCAGATTCCTATGCAGATTAAGCTGAATGTCATGGACAACGTAACAACCTCAAAGTGTGGGGTGTAGCAGAGTCCATACCAGACACGGAATTTCCACATCTTATTAGACACCTTCTCTCGGCTATCCTGACTTAACCCCCCAAAAAAACACCAAAAAACACAACTCCAGCAGTAGCGACGCTCTGCTCCGATTCATGTCATTCTGGGATGAAATGGAAGTAGTTGAGGCCCTTAAATCCAAAAGTCTGTTCCAGTTTGAAGGAATGCAACTAACTTTCCTGTCTGACTTGTGCAGGACCACGCTTGACTGGAGATGTTCGGTCCAACAAGTTAGACAATCTCTCAAAGAGGTCAAGATTAGTTACCAATTGGGATCCTTTCCTCTCTGATTTGGGCCTGAAGCAGTTATCAACCCTGCCTGCTGTTCCTAGAACGTTTTGAAAGTAGTTCCCTGCCCCGCTACTGACAACAGATGAAGTATCCAGGACTTTACCAGGCTACATTTAGGCCCATGACCGGTCAAAGGCATAGTTGAAGGAGTCATATACACTAAAATAACGTTTATTTTATTGTTGTTTTAATATCCTGTTTTTTCTTACGTGAGATGCCCTTACCCGGGTTGTATTGTGGCACTAGAGGCGCTTTCTGGCCTTTCACGTAGTTTGACTATGTGAAACGATGCAAGAAATCTTCACTCTTTGCACCTAGACATCCAGGTGGAGTTACACCTCCAGCAGCAAAGGGATTAAACTTGGCATGTTCAGAGAAACACTGCACATAAAGACTCCAGGCATCATGATGCTTGGCGCTGCCCTTTAAAGTGGTGTGCCGTGAGAGTTACTTTTTAACACATGTCAAATGTAAATTAAAGTGATAAAAATTTAATCTATTGGTTGTGCTAGCAGAATCAGCAATAAACGTATTGATTTTCTGTAGATATGGTCTCTCCAGGTTTCAGTCAGTGCCAGGATAGCAGCTTTGTAGGTGTTGCTGAAGTGTTCCCAAGCGAGGCCAATTAAATAGGAGGATGTGGGACATAACCAGGCGTTGGTATTGCATTAGGATGATGCCAACAAACCTTATATCATAGAAGTTGTGTTGGTGCACAAGTGCTAACATTTCTTAAAACAATTTATCTTAACACAGTGACGTGGAACTGGGTACCTGGGCACAGTCCTATCTTGTGGGGTTTCAACCCTTTAACAGTTTGACCCAGGGTGCCCGTCTGTACGGACTCCAGTCGCCTCAATGATCGATCAGGTTAAGCATGCCTTTGCCAGCAATTATATAGACTATAAAGTGGCAGCCGGGGGGAGGGGGAAGGCGGAGCATAACCACGAGCCGGAGCAGAAGTCATTTCACAGTGCTCCGTTTGCAAAGCTGAAATAAAAAATAAAATAAAAAAAAAGCTTTTTTGAGGGCTAAACCCCTCATCCACCCTACTTTTGGCTAACACTCCATGGAGTAAGCACTGCAGAGGTGACCTATGCCGTTCATAGAACCCGCGAGGTTAAAACGACACAAGCTCAGGTCTGGGCGCTACAAGTCCACTCAGAGCCTGAACTGGTCAAAACTGCTAGACAGCTTGGAGCCTCACTGGGACCCAGAGGCGGAATATTACCCGGACGCTCACCAACCATCCCTAGCATCGATGGTCACAGAAGCCTCCCCTGGATCCACCTTCAGAGTCCAGAGACATATAAGCATTACTGCAGCGACAACAGCCGCCCAAAATTGCGATGGCACCAGCAGAACCCATACAACCTGACTACTGGGCAGGTACCTATTACTGCAGATGACCCAGATGGGTCTTTCGCAACTTGGTCCTGGAGATCAAGAATCTCCTGGCAGCTGATGTGGTATTTATTAAAGCAGGCATACAGGCAGTCGATAATAGGGTGAAGGCCTCAGAAAATGACATAGCTGATATTAAACATGGAATCTCAGCCCTTCAGAACTCCGTCCTAACTATTCAGGCTCACTAACAGGCTCTTTCACTTCACTATATAGCGCTGGGTGACAGATCACGGCACAATCCCCTAAAGATCATAGGAATACCGGACACCTGACGAGCTCCCACACTATGAGGTGACTTGTAGCATCAATACTACCCCCAAATCAAGCCAAGAAATTCACCATAGATTGGATCTACCGTCTACCATCATCAGACAGTCACCTCTACAACAGTACATGGCGAGGCTCATTTTCCTGTCCGCCCGCACCTCCCACCTCTGTCAGTCCCTATATTGGCTTCCAGTTAGATATAGGGCTCAATTTAAGATTCTGGTGCTTGCTTACAAGTCCAGGAAAGCATATATTTAAACTGTTAGCGGGTTTTAATCCCCCCCTACCCCCCGCATGAATCCTCTCCTGCAACTGTCAAAAATAAACAAAAACAATAAGTTCTCAGTGAATACTTTTCTAGCAACCCATTTTATTACCCCTACTTATACCTTTTGTGTCACTATACCCCACTCCCTCTAGCATAGCCCTTAACCCCTCTGTTCCTGTTGGTCCATTTGTCTGGTTACAATTACGTGTCTGTTAGTCCACCCATTGTACAGCGCTACGGAATTTGCTGGCGCTATAGAATGATATGATTGTCAGGGGTTCCGCCTCACAGGATAAAAGATTCCTAATGTCGGCACTCCAAGGCAAGACACCACTATCCTTTGAAGGATCAAGTCTCTCCTTCTATCAGAATCTCACTAGGTCAAGGCTACAATAGTGAAGATCCCAAAATCCTGTAACCTGCCACCTGAGAACAGCAGGAATAGAATACCACTGGAAATCTTCGAGGTTCCTAGTGGCCACACACAATGGGACTGTACATAAAATTTCATCCCTAGCTGAAGCACCTACCTTCTTCATGGCTCTGGGCATTCCTGCCCCAAAGACCCCACCAGACCGAAATGCTGTGCACGCGGATAAGAATCTGGGCTGGCTGTACCCTCTACATCTACAGATCACCTGATACTATAACCAGAAGCCTGGCTACATTGAGAGTCCTAATACCTATCTGCGGCTCGAACTCTTATGTTTTGTTTAGTTCATTTCTTAACATGAATCCTAATAAGTTTAATTTGTTGGCTTCCTAACGGAGTATGTTTACCTGTAATAACATGCTCCGGCATTCAGAGGACATGGGCTTTGCCCCTACACGATGGTGTGTTACACCACACCTATCGCAGCTCACACACCCCCACCCCTCTGGTTAGGGGTATGTGACGAACTTAGCCTTGTCACATGTTCTTGGAGGGACCTATTTGTCAGCCTCCTGCCTCAGGACTATGGGCCATGCAAAAAGGCTCATAAAATACCTTGTTCGTGCCTCTTTGCTATTCTGTTCAGTAGATTGCATTGCCCTCCTATTCTAAAATTGTCCAGTTCGACTACCGAACAACCGCACGAACCAAGGACCACCCGGGAGCTTGTTAACACCTATTAACACCTTGGAACAGTTCTCACCACAGTGTTCTAATTGTTTGTCTGGGTGGCCACAATTCCTATGGACAACCACAAAGTGGCTGCCATCTTGTTCACATGAAGGCAGGCAGCGTTGTTTGGGCATGAATCTCATGGAACTAAAATCGGACACAGAAACTCCCGAACACCGCTGGACTTGCATCATCGCCTACGTTCGGTTCTATAAAATTTAAAAGGACACTGTTCGGTGAAATAGTTCATCTGGATGAGGGCCACAAGCTCCAGGGTAAGAACATTGACTATGTTGGCTAGTTTATTCGGTTTCCAAACTACCAAACTAGACCAACCGCAAGCCCTGATTCTCTGGAACGGTTTTGGGCATGGAACCATGCTTGTGGTCGGTCAAAAATAAGACTTCCAAAAAATTCCTGAACTGATCTGGGTTATTTTTGGATATGTTGGTCACCCAGATCAGGCAATGTAACTTTTGTAGGGGGTTTGTGTGTTTTAAGGTATTTTTGGGGGTTTGTAAAAATGTGTTTTTGTGTTTGGACATAATTGAGTTTAGTATAGTACTTGGCTCAATTATCTCCCAGGCATAGGAGAGAGATTGACCTATTGACCTATTTTGTATTGGAGTGTACTGGACCTGAGAGCCAATGTAAACGTGTATTTGTTTCTACTGTGGTTTACTCTCAGGTACAGGGGGGAGTGCGCCTTGCATGGGGACTGTCATAAAAGGCCAGTTGTATCTACCATTAAACTGAGATCCGTTCTGGCCTTCATGAAATCTAGGCTCATATTTGGGGGATTGGAGAGCTATATTCACTCTGGGGATTGCTATAATCACTAATCACTACACTTGCTCGAGCAGCCTGCGTTGCTCTCTGGACTAGCAGAGGTCTACCCATTGGAAGCTGGATCCCCGGTGGGTGGAGGACAGCAAGACCCCAAACAAGCTGCGGCGGTTTGTGGGTGTTACGGTGGTTATGGTATTCAAGTGCAGTGCTTATGGTGCTCAGAAGTACTAGGAAGCAGCGATTGACAGAGGTACCCGGTTGGGGTGCCAGGTGGTCCGTCACAGGGTACAGTTGGAAAAAGGACAGATAATATCCCCCAGAATGGGCTACACTTATGTCCACAGACACTACATGGCTGATCTCCATCCGCATTATATACCTTCATGATTAAATATCAATGTTAGGCTTTCAATATTGCGATACATACCCATCTCCTGACAAATGATAACGCATGTATGTAACCTTATGTGCAAACCTACTTCTTTATTTCTCTAACCAACCTTGCATTGATATAAAGACAACAAAAAAACATTTCAATAAAAAGATATTGACAAAAAAAAAGTGTCAGCCTATCTGGCCCCACTAATAATCAAGGTAAGACATCATGCGCTGCTAGCAAAAACTAGGAACTTCTACGCACTTCAGGAAATCATAGGAAATGTGTATAATTTGCATATATTATAATAAAATGCCCAGCCGGTGCCCTTGCTGGATGCATTCATGCCTCACTCTGGTTTGGGTTATTACAATGCTCTATTGGCAGTCTCTGAGCACACATGATATCATTATAAGATACGCTGTACACAGGGGGTGTGCTCCTGTCCTATTGATATTATTATTATTATAACAGAGATTACCTGGGGTCCTGCGGCTCTATTGATATTATTATTATTATAACAGAGATTACCTGGGGTCCTGCGGCTCCTCCCCCCGCTCCTCCTCCGGGCCAGCTAGCTCCCGCCCCCTGTGTGTAAAACCCCGACCTCCAGGCCGCCGCAGCCGCTGCTTCCTCCTGCCTCTGGCGAGCCAGCACGTCCCCGCCCGCCGGGGTATAATACCCGCTGCCGCCATTCCCGGCTCTCTGCGCAGCCGACATGGAAGCAGCGCTATTCAAACGGCCGCACCAGCTACGACCCAAATGCGCAGAAGAGGAGCGAAAGATAGCATGGCAATACCCTCTTTGGCCAATCAGAGACAGGACGGTGCCACGCTAGCCAATAGCAGGCTAGGATACAGCAGTGACCCCGCCTACGGTAGCCAATGGGAAGTAAGTAGGAATTGGCCTGTCACGTGGTTACATGTCCATTCGCCAATGAGTAACGGGAGACGCTGGCATGGCCACGCCCACTTTCCCGCGGTTTACCCAATAGCCAGAACGTGCGCATGCGGAGTACGAGGCAAGGCAGGCGGGTCACGCCCAGGACGAACTTGTCAGCTATCCCTTACGCCTATTTCATAAAATGGGCGGGGTTTGCAGACTGTCTAGCCACGCCCACCGTGGAACGCCTTTTCCAATCAATGAACCGTCACTCGTGTCACACCTCCTCTCTGGGAACAATCGGAGCGCCGTGCTTACGTCATTCACACCCTATATCACACGCGCCTGGAGTGCCCCGTGCCGCCGGAAGTAGTTCTATCAGGAATGGCGGTTGTTCCGGTTGCCAGGGCAGAGTGGTGTCCGGTGTGAGGTGTTGCCACGGGGAGTGGCGGGAGTGAAAATGAATTACATGCCTGGGACCGCCAGCCTCATAGAGGATATAGACAGTTAGTATTGGCACCCAGGCACTGACTGGGAAACAGAGCCAGGCTCACAACAGCTGTCAAACTACAACTCCCATCATGCTGGGTGCCCTGTTAATGCTCGGTGTTCTAGAACTGTGCAGCATGTCAGTGTTGCTCCCTGTGTTGTATTTTGTGGGGTATTACGTGTGTCATGGCTGCCTTAGGTTGGTGAGAGTTGGCAGGGATACAGTGGGCCCATTGCCGTGTCTCTGCCCATGGTTACACAGAGAGTAAGAGTAATCTGAGTAATCCATGCCAAGCAAGCGTGCTTCGTGTGGGGGTTTATTGGTCCTGCTGCAGTTTAGTTTGTTTATGTAGTAACAGAATTAATCTAAAACGTTTGCCATGTCACTGTATTCTAGAATAGAATTCGACTGTCTATAACGAATTGTAGTAAGCTCTGAGGGCACCGTCTACGAGCCTTGTGTGCTATGTATGTTTGTACTGTATATGTTGGCCTCACAGCAACTTTGTAATCAGACGAAACTCCCGGATGTAATTTGACTTTTTTTGAGCTGCATTAAAGGGACACTTAGGAATGCAAAGCTGCTTTTGTAAGCTGTTTTGATATGTCCAAATGAGAAATACATGGTTAATTGGGATACATAGTACTTTCAGGTGTGCAACTGGGAGAAAAGTTTCTACAGTGCTCCTAAGCACTGTGGAGTGGCACCCAGCAGACCTCAGGTAAGAAGTCAAAACTGTTCTAAAATAGTTTGACTACTTACAGTGGAGGAGGGGTTGGAGCAATCCTGGCACCAAACCTCTACAATGTGTTGTAGTGGTTATGTTTGGAGTTATAATTTAAGCATTTATCTAAAATGTAGACCCTTTTTTTTTTTTTTTAAATCTATCTCTAGACACAGGAGAGAACCTGAACGCGGTACCGCTGCTTTTTTGTTAAGTGTATTAAATACTTAAATGTTATCGGAAACCCGCATGGTCTGTGTGCCATGTCCTTGTTTAACCCTCTAGAAACAGCCACATTTACGTTGCAGGGTATAATTGTCTTTAATGGCTGCCACTCTGGCAGCCATTAGAGGTGCTTCCGCCGAAATAAATACTTGGCTGTTTCTATCAGATGGTCTAGTAGAAACCATCTTATTGATGTAGTGTTTTGTCTCTTATTTGTGTTAGCCTCACAATGCTTTCCTATGGGCAAGGATTGGACTGGCTGAGCTAATCAGTCATAACGATATACATAGAGGCAGGATGGCAGCGCAGAGAAATCACCTCAACCGTTTACTATCTTACAAATGTGGATTCCCAATGCTACATTACAGTTATCTCCACATTTTTTGTCTTCATCTCTTTTTCAACAGTCTTATGGGCATTTTATAAACCTATTTTGATGAATATTACTTTTTTTTCCTTGGCAGGAGGATTGACAACTGCATTAAGTTTAATTTAAATTTTAGCTAATGTTTGTTTCCCTTAAATCTTGTTTTTTACAGAAAAACACTTAGTGCTCCTTCGAGATGGGAGAACTCTTATTGGGTATCTGAGAAGCATTGACCAGTTTGGTGAGTTTATAGCAATTACATTATGCAGTGTCTTCAGGACAAACCTAGGCATGGCATCTTTTCAATGTCACAGATCTTCAATGATAGGCTTGGTCCCCTGTTGGCTTAGCACTAAATACAGCGGTTATAAGGATTCCATTGAGAGAGCAGAATGGATTATTCACTAAAGAATTCAGTTGTAGCTGACCACGGGTAACCCGACCGGTTACCTCTGCTAATTCCTTCACTCAGCCACTCTGGAACCATTAAAACCTGCAGACATCCATTCTCCCAGTAACCAGACGTAACCTAGTTCTGGGAGTCAACTGATTTTATTCAGGCCACACATGGCTTTTATGCCCTGACCCCCGCATGGGGTCTCCAACACACAAATACAGGGTTTTCAAACACAGGGTCCTCTGTGCCTGAGATACATTTGTGGAAAAAAAACTAATCTTATCTCTCAGGAACAGAAAATCTTTACAAAATATATAGTACCCCAAAAGTGCCCCCACAATACTCTGGAATCCCACAAAAGGTATATCCCCGATCTGAGTGCATAACATATCCAAAGATCACTCAGATCGGTGAAACGGAAATGCCATCGATATAAAGTTTTGACCAACCAGACACGAGGCGGTAGCCCAAATCCGTTCCAGGGAAATATTTGTCCTGGCCGGCCTCTGTTTAGGGTTTTCTGTGCGAACACCATGCAAGGGAATCTCTTCATTTCAGGATACGAATGCTTCCCCTGTTCAGTAGTTCATATCTCCTGAACATCGTTCGTATACGTGGTCGTGAAATAGAACGTACAACGGTCTAATCTTTACCAGGGTTCGTGCGAGTGCCTCGTCGCAAAGAGTTCCAGGCACTCTACAACAAAGTACCGCTGCCCACGTTCGGCAGACAAGACTGCCACCATTCTTTTGTCGACCACGTGTGTTCGGTTATATGAAATGGTGGCCGCCCAGGGGTAGCATTCATTACTTCCCTTGCGGTTTCGAACTTAAGTTGCTGGTGTGAACGTTGCAGATTGGCTATCTTGGCCTAAAATTTGAAATCCCTTTTGAATTCCACTTGAGGGAATAACACTGCTTACATGCTCGGGACCTATAATGTAATTTTGGTTTTGTTTCCGCAAGCCTTTTTTTTTTTTTTTACAATCTTAGAAATTACTTTTTCGGTTTTCTTTGCTTTCATATATGTTGGACCCATTGCTGTCTAAACTGTTGTTGGTTTTCTGGTTTTTAGATACGAATACAGTGCTTATCAGCCAGGGAAACTGAGCATCATCCATACTCGTAGAGGAGTATTCCAGTCAAAAGGCTAACGATCTTAGGCATTTGTATAAGAAAAAAAATTCACACCATAGGCCTGTATTGTATTTTTTATATGTTCATTAAAATAGTGACATGCTGTAGGGCCATGAGATATGTTTAATAAAAAAAAATAGAGACTGCAGGAACATGTCTTTGCACTAAAATCCCATGCATGAGATTAAGTAGTTGTGGTGCTTGGAGTGACACTTTAATCATCGTAACCTGTACTAGGCAGTCTCTTGTTTCCTCACTGCTATTTAAGGGATACTCTGGCACCATGACAACTTCATCAAAATGAAGGTTTTATGGTGCCAGCAGGTCACTGATGTTGCAAAGTCTTCAGTCTGGCATCTTGTGTCCAATATTTCCTGAGTGACTTCTCATACTTCAACTTTCTGTTTAACGCTTTAATCCCTGAAGGTAAGCCAGCATGAGGGATCTGGCTGCATCATACCTTTATGTTGAAGTTATGGTACCTGCAGGGTTTAAATACTCCTGCCATATTTTGTCATGTTGAATAGCTACCATATGTTAACAGTATTTTTAATTGTATAGCTATAATCTGTAGAGATTTGTCCTTTGATTTTGTATGAGTTAAGGAACAAGAGTCGCCATAGTGACTACAGCATCCTGTAGTGGTTTTAGTTCAATTTGTGCCCTGGTTTCCACCCAGTGTAATTAGTCCACTTTGCTAAAGGTTTGACAACTTAACTGAGAGCCATTTCCTTGAGAGCTAGAAGTACCATACATAAGTTTTTGTTGGCTCTCCTGAGTTAAATCCTCCCATGAGGGGCCAGCCCATAGGCTGAGAGCAGCATCACTGCATTTTCCCCCTTCTTTCATTGTAGGTACATCTAAAAGCAGTTTGCTAAAGCTGTAGATCTCTTGTCTGTGTCTGTTGCAAGCCCTCTCCTAACGCAGGCAAAACTTTCTTTGGCTGTCCCATTAGACTTCCCAATGTAGCTCAAGGGGAAATCTTTGCAAGGCAGGTGCTCTGGGCAATTGCTGACATTTCAATTTTTTTAGCTTCACTGAGCTAAACAACCAGGAAGTAACATCAGTGTGACATCCAAGGGAGTGGAACAAGGTTAAAGGCACACTATATTCACCAGAACTACAGCTTAATGTAGTTTTTCTGATGAGTATAACCATTCCCTGCAGGCATTTTCAGGTAAACCATAACTTTTCAGAGTGGCCACTGGAGGTGAGCAGCACTGCTGTTCAGCGTCTCCACATTTTACATGGAGATGCTAAATTTGCCTCATAGATTCAATAAATCTATGAGGAGGTGCTGATTGGCCAAGCCGGCATGTGGCTCCTTTCTTTGTCGATTTTAAGTTAATTCAATGCTTTTCATATGGGAAAGCATTGGATTTTCTGAAAAATAAATCATATCAGCAAGGAGGCTGATTGTGGGCGGGGCAAGCAATGGCAGATCTGTGTGGTGCTGGAAATAAGGAAAGTTTAATAACATTTTTGCAAATTAAGGGGGGGGGGCACCTAACTATGATTTTTTTTTTTTTTAAATAAGCACCATAGGGTCAGGTATTCATGTTTGTGTTCCTGACCCTATAATGTTCACTACGTAAAACACAAATTACTTTAAGTGCAATAGAGACTTGAAATGTCCATCTAACTTGTTTTATATTCTGGTAGAGTGAAATATAGTGGACATGTGGTACTAAGCAGAGTTTTAAACCAGACATGCGTAACCTCCAGCCAGTGTATGTTTCGGGCGGGCCCATGAAGACAGAGCCAGTGCTACCATAAGGTGGCACAGGTGGCTGCTGGGGTCTGCAGGATATGTTTGACCGGCAGGAAGAGAGTGCACTGCACTCCCCTACCACTAGTCACTGTGGCTAAGCCACAGACAACGGTAGAAAAGCTTCTGTATTCTCTACCTGGTCTCTAAGGACGCCAAACTTTTTCCTGTCAGACCGGGGAGAGTGAACAAGAGCAGTCTGCGACTCAGCCATGCTACAATGAGGGAGATGAGCAGGCACAGGGGAGAAGAGAAACCACGGAAGAAGCAAGACGCATAGACTCAGAATGGCTGGTAGGAGTAAAAGAATGTGCTGGGGGGAAAACACACTAAAGGGGCTGCACTGAACAGATGTACAGAGGGCTTGATAAGTCGAGAAAGACACCCAAAGTAGTTCTGGTTTCTACTTCCTGTTCTTGCAGTGTTTACATTACTGCCTAGGAACACCTCCGGTAGCAGTCATTCAAACAGCCACTAAAAGTGCTTTCTGTGTCAGGCTGATCAGCATCGCTAAGGTGTTCATGGAGGTGTTGAACTTCTCACTAGAGATGCATTGAGTGTATGCATCTCTAAAGAGATGCTAATTTTGTGCAAAGTGGCGTTTTGCTGCGCATATTTGATGGCCTCCCAATGCTGTTGTATGGGAAAGCATTGGATATACTGAGATTATAAAGTTTGATGCAAGCCAAGAGGACAAAGTGTAAGCAGGGCCAGCTGCTTCCAGATCTGTGTGGCACTGAAATAAGGTGATTGGTGATAACTGGGGCCCGGAGACCTAAATGGCTATTTAGTAGATATTCGAAAGTAGGTTCAAGCACTCAAGGTTTCTTCAAAGGCAGATTAATAGAATACTGAACTTGCAACGTTTCAGCCTTTACAGAGGCCTTTGTCAAGCCTCTGTGATCGTCGAAATATTGCAAATTCAGTTTTCTAAAAATCTGCCTCTGAAGAAACCTTGAGTGCTTGAACCTACTTTCTACAAATATCTGCTAAATTTGGTTTTGCCAACCTGGTCTTTGATACACCTAGTTTTCACTGTGAGAGTGCGGTATCCATTTATGTTTGAATCTAAACAACTATTTTAGACCTAGTGTCAGAATACATGTTTCTGTTCCAGACACTATAGTTTTCCTTTAAGGATTATCTGCAATTTATTTATTTTGCAAAAACCCACCAGGTAATAAATCTGCTGGATGTGGTGGCTTAGTATAACACAAGAGGGAAGACTTACTCGCCTTCTGCTACTTTCTCCATTGTGCTACCATCTTTCCCTGTCCTCTGTCATTGACCTAGCAAGCCAGGACTACAAAGAAAATATTTGTATGTAAATGTCCATTGGATCCTCCACAATTCTTGTGCACGCATCTGTTGCATGCTAAATAAAGATTCCTTCTCCCAGGCTAGCACTTAAGATGTCAAAGTGAATACAAGACCCACTGGTAATGGATGTACATTCCAGTTTGTCGTGTATCAAAGGAAAACTGTCACATAAACACAAATTTTATTTTTTAAATAATCTCTTCAAGTATATGTAAAAAAATGAGTAATGGTCATCCCCAACAGACCTGCACATTTAGGTGGCCCATTCACTTGGGGGCCACCCAGTGGGCATATCTCCAGTGGCCCAGTTGGACGCTGTGGAGCTTAACAGCATGGCCGGATCCCATGTTCATCGGCAGCATGGGAGGAAGTGAGAGCTGCGAGTCACTTCCGACCATAGCTGCGCACAGGGAGGGGGAGGATGCGAGGAGGGGGCCAAGCCGGGAAAGACTGGAGTCACACGAAGGGAGCAGAAAAGGGCAGGAGCCAGCCCCCAACATCCTCAGACTGGACACAAGGGTAAGTCAACCTACAGCACCCAAACTGAAGAGTGGCTGTAAAAGTGTATATTTTGACCTGTATGTGGGTGTCTGTCTGACACACACACTGTGTGTCTGTTTGTCCTTATGCCTGCCTGCCTATCTGTATTTTTATGTAATTTTATACCTTTACTTGGAAAGTGAGGAGCTAAAAATCTGTAGTCCAAAGAAGTTTAGCCTATATAATTTTGGCCCTACCTACTGCCAAGTTGTGCAGATCTGACATGACATGATCCTTCAGATTCTGTCCTAATCTAGGGATTAGTTGTTTGCTTTTTATTTATTTATTTTTTTTATAAACCCCTTCATATACTTAATTTAACAAAGAATATATTTAAATAAAATAGCCGATGTGACTTTTTTTTTTTTTTTTCTCCTTAAGCATGTATTAGATAAAGTAGTCCACCAAAGAGTATTGAAATTAGAGGGGGGGAAAAAACAAACTTTTATTTTATTTTAATCACAGCTAACCTTGTGTTGCACCAGACTGTGGAACGGATTCACGTTGGGAAGAAATATGGGGACATTCCTAGAGGAATTTTTGTTGTCAGAGGAGAGAATGTAGTCCTACTTGGAGAGATTGTAAGTAAACTGTCTTTGACTTTTGAATTCTTTATTTTGCTCTTCTTGCTGACCTAATGAGAAGTGCAAACGTTGTCTTCTGTATTTAATTGCATGAAGATCTTATTTGATGACTGCAATAGGTCCCAGAGGTTGACTGAACATTGTTGGGAGAGAGGACATTGTACCCTTTATAATAAACTTTCTTTAAACCACACTATCTTTTCATGAGTGTTCAAGCTTTATTGAAAGGTTATTCCAAGCACCATGAGTACTTTAGTGGTTTTAAGTGATCGTGGTGATTAAAGTCTGTAGTGTAGCATTTCATTAAGACACTCTGCTCGTACAGAGAAACCACTTTGCTGCTGGAGGATAGAAGCAATTCTAAGCGTAAAGGGAATCAGTCCGCGCGCATAGCATGAGGACTATGTACAAAGTCCTTCCTCAACTATGCCTCCATGATACCTCTCTGCTCCTGAAATTTTAATAATTTGAGTTTGACAAGCCATATAGACACTTTTTAGCAGGGTTGTATCAGCTTCTGCATGGAGTCTGCTTGCAAGACCAAATCTTGGCAGCAACTGCTGCATGCTATTGACTTACCTTGTATGCTTTTATTGTAATAGACTATAAGAATGCCAATCATGGATGCAAATTGAAAGGTGTGTTTTTTTGTTTGTGTTTTTTTTTTTTTAATTCCTCCAGTCTTTGGGAAATAGCGGGTCAATCTAAGCCTCATAACCACTCTGTATGATTGCAAAGTGCATAGTATGTTTGACAGCGGGCTGAACCAGCAATGTTGACATACTTCTACTACAGGGCAACCAAACAGGCATGCAGTGTAAAGTGTGCATTTTGCCCATATTGTGCTTGCACCATAGGGAAGGCTCTTTCCCTTCCAGTAGAACCATGCCACAGACTGCACATGTGTAATATGCATCTAAACCGATGTTAAAACATAGCCTGGTTCAATAAACTGCAGGCCTGTTTATGAACTGATAGCAGTCATATAATGGCTGCTCTCATTGTGAGTAGTTGAGATGATTTAAACCTCTTTGGTTGTAAACTACTTATGCCAAATAGCTCTGCTAGACAGGAAACTTTAGAATATGATCTCTTTCCACTAAGAAGGATGATTCTTCTAAAATGGAAATTTCTGTGAAAGGGGTCTGCATGCATTTTCAGGCTCACCCACTAAGCAGTGCCCTGAGGGATAGTTTTAGAAAGTGACTGTTTTTTAATAGTTTGAATAACCACACTAAAAACTTAGATGAATAATTAAACAAAAGCAGGCTATAGGCAGTGTCCCATTTTTGAGGAAAACTGGCCTTTTCCCTTTCTTTCCTCCTTCACTCATATTGGTAATGAGGAAATATTCCTTCTGCGCAATCTTTAAGGTAGTGATGGAAAATACACCCTATGAATTTGTTGGGGTCTTGAGTGGTCTGCATGGTCTGACCTGTTGGACACATTTAGCCCAATACAGCAAGAGTTAAATCACTGGCTGCTTGGTTTTATATACAGCGATTTCAATCTGTAGCCTACACATAAAACTACACACAATAGTCTATAAGACTATTAAGCTACCTGCTTTGTAGTTTATCTGTACACTGTTCATATGTGGTGGTGTTACGAGGAGATACATTTAAGCTTGCATTGTAAATAGCACCAAGCTTGAGTTTTAGGGTCAATATTCAGCATTTAAAATGTTACTTTTTCTTTTAAGTATTCATGGTGAAATAATGGACTACATTTAGGCATTCTATGCATGTAGGTGTAGATGTTTTCCAAGATAGTCATGAAATTCAAATCATTTGGATCAATCCAGGTGGAGAAAATGCAATCTTTTACAAGGGGTTCTACAACAAACACTGTTCTAGGTCTGGGTGGATAATCTCTCTAAGTGAAGAAACCCCCCCCAAAATAGAAAGATCTGTCTATTTAGGCCTATTCATAAGTACAGTCCTGCACAGCAACAGCATTTTAGCCAATCAGGTAATCAGGACAGCCCGGTTCCCCTCAGATTTTAAAATCTGGATACCGCAGATGGTTAACTCCTCCAGAGACCATGAAACCCCTAATGTAGGATAGCGATCAATCTACACTGTACTAAATATCATAAAGGCAAAGAGCACCACTGTCTATATAAGAACCAAAACATGAACTTACTCCTATGAAAGGGTTATGTCAGAGTGGAAAGGCAATATAATAAAGTAACAATAAAAAATTTGCTCTCTATCAGCTGAAATAAAGTACACTTTTTTTTTTTTTTTTTAACTGGACTGTAGCCAGGGAAAAACACTGGTGGGACAGGGAATCCGCCAGTTTGTTTGCCTCTCCTGGTGCATGAACTGCCAAAAATTAGAATTTTGTGAACCATCGCCCAGGACCATAGGTCCAAAACCTCTAGGCAAAGACCTTTTGACCTTGTGCCCCTCTTTGGTTGACATAAGCTACCGCTGTCCTGTTGTCAGATTGAACCATTACCGACACACCTAGGGGTTCAACGGAACGAGGCCTTGGAGGGCTAATCTGGATGCTCTCAACTCTAGTAAACTTATGTGAAGAAGCCTTTCTTGAACTGACCAAACTCCTCTTGTGCCTTGGGCAGAGAAGGCACCCCATCCCTTGGAAGAAGCATCTGTGGTCATGGTTAACTTGAAAGACTTTTCCAGAAGGGGGAAAGGGAAGTGGACTTCCAATATCTTGTTTAGCTTTTTTCTGAAACTCTTGGGAAGGACCACTCTTGACCCCCACTGGCCACCTCGTCTCAGTTGGTTTCCTAGAAACAGCTGACTTTGTCTACACAGCAAGGGGGAAGCATCATAACCCGGTGTTAAAGCGATCAGCCTCCCAATAGTCTTTGCTATTTCTCTTAGGGACCATCTGTATTTTAAAAAGAGCTGAAGTTAATTGAGCTAGGATTTTTTTCCCATTTGTCTCGAACACCCAATGTCCTATCCATAGTGTTCAGCATGAAACCCAAAAATAGGATGTTTTGAGTAGGGACTGGGATGGCTTTTTGCAGATTTACAATAAACCTCAGATCCTGTAGTAAGGAAATTGGGGTAATCTCTCTGCTGAATGAGAGCCTCTACCTCTGGATTCAACAATAGTATGTCTAAGTAAAAAAGGCATAAAAAATATAATGGCTTTCATTATCCTGGAAAATGTGTAAGGTGTGTTGGATAGGCCAAACAGCATTACAGTCCAGTGATATACCTGTTCCTTCCAGCGGAATCTGAGAAAGCGTCTGTTTCATAGTGATAGGAACTGAATGAAAAGCATCTTTGAGGTCTAATTTTATGCAGAAGACCTTTTTCTGCACTAGGCCTGGGAGGTATTTTAAAGCTTCCGTCTTTTCCTCTTTAGAAAAAGCATTCAAAGCCTTGACCTTTAGTACTGGCCTCTACGTGCATCTGATTTTTGGAATAGGGAACAATCCAGCCTGAAACTGACAAATCTGCCAACTCTATTTCCCTGAGCTAATGCCTGGGAAAGAAATCTAGAACTGGATCTACCTCTCTGCCCACAGCTTGACTCTGGAAAAGAAACTGAGTTGAAAGCCCCTTTTGAAAATCTGAAGCACCCATTTGTCCGAGGTTATCCAATTTTGAGGAATGTGAAGTAAACCACTTGCTTGACTGCATGAGTCTTTGGTTTCCTGATGAGCCACGTCTGGCATGGGCTCCTCTGCTACTGCTTGGGGGTCTTGACTTTCCTCATGGTGACGAAAGTGGGCTTGCTGAGTAACTGAGTAACTTCCATGGGATCTGCAGAAACACTGCTTCCTGTAATACACAACAGAGGTGGATCAATTTCAGGGGCTATTAGTGCCTGAATGTCAGGGATACCAATATGATTGCTTTCTAAGGAGGAGATCATATTCTTCAACTAGCAGTGATCTGAAGGCTAGTTTGGCGAAATCACGGACTTCTGACTTTTGTTCGATGGCCCATCTTGAATGGAATAATTTTAAAGGGAGCACTTTACCTAAAAGGCTCACTCTATCCATCTGAATGTTGCTCAACTTCCCTCGCTCAGTGGAAGCTGCAGAGCGAACCACCTCCTCGGACTCCCAATCAATCTCCGGTGATCGTTGTCTGGAACAGGACTGGCTTAGGGAGGATGAATGAGCAAACGCTCTTGAGGTGGACGGTGAGGGACTGGCAGCACTCAAATGAGTCTTTTTGTGTAAAAACTGGTTTGAAACCTCAAGGGAAACACGTTTTGCTTTTGGAGGTACCGTCCCTTTAAAACATAGACTAATCAAACGAGAATGAAGAGGGACCAAAATAGAGTTCATCAGAACTTGAAGAGTAAAATCAGCCTTTTTATTTATTTATTTTTCTTAATTTACACGAACTGGGACTATATCCTCAGAAGATGAAGAGGATAGGTCTCTGGCAAGGAAGGCTCTCGTATGGAGCCTTCTAACGTTGATGGGGCTGTCTCTAGGAGAGACCTCCACCAGATCTGTTGCAGACACAGAAGTGGAGTCCTCCAATGTTGCTATTTTAAAATCTGAGGTGATCAGGGCTGCTGCGAGCTACACGGCTGTACTGATTGGCTAAAACACTGTTGCTGTGCAGGAGCACAGCACTACCATTTTTTTAGCGCTGCAAAATCCTTCTCCGGGAGGCTGCCACATAACCACTAGCTTTGCTAGGTGGTTATGCCTCCCGGAGGGACAAAAGGAAAGTACACATGCTTTAAATTCTATGGTTTTACATATTTGTAACAACTATTTGTTCTTTAGCAGGTTTTAACATTGGGTATACACAACCTCAGATAAACCATGAATGACATTAGTGTCATGGTTTTATTTAACAAAAATAAAGCCAAACTGGAGAAGCTTTGTGTGTGGGGGGGGAAATACTAGTGCCATTACTGTCACCTACGATTCGTGTGAGTTTGAATGCAGTTCTTATTTATGTGTTTGGGGGTTTTGTCGTGCTGTTTTGTATGGGGGAGGTGGGAGGAAATCTACCGCACTGCCTCGCCACAGGAAAAAAAACAGTTGGTGCTGGATTAAAGTGGGTCTTCATAAAATCTGCACTCAAAGGGTTGATTTTATGGGGTTTTTTTTTTAAAGTACTTGTCATAACCGTTTTGTTTTACAAAAAATGTTTAACACCAGTGACAAATTAATAACTTGCGAAGTTAGCATCTCTTTTGCAACCATTGAGGGTAGGGGCGAGGGAGGGACACTAATTCTTATAATCCTTTTCTTGAAGTCTCTTAAGAGATCAAGGGCATCAAAAATACTAAATGCATATCTAGTGATAATCTGAGTGGTGTCACTCAGTCAATGGGTAAATGAACCAGCCATTCCTCTAACTTGTGTAATGATTCACTGCCAAGTTGGTTCTGATGGTTTTTACTTGTACACTGCAGCTCCACATGTTGGCGGTAGTATGCGATTACCACAGGGCAATTAAAAACGGCTGGCGGAGGCTCACAAACTGGCAGCCCATGTGGACTCCTGCGTCCGGCAAAGGACTGATGGGGAGATGTCACTGGTGTCCTGTATAAGACTGTTTTAGCCACTTTGGGACGTTCTATAAAACAAAAAGTGCAATTGCATGATGATCATTGAGAAAACCACTGCCTTGTATAAAACACTTTGAAGAGAGACATTCCGAATGGGAAAAACAAAGAACCAGCATGAAATTTAAACCATAGCCAAGTAAAACAATGAAAGGAACTAGCAGAGTAAAATTAAATCTATAGAACCTTGAATGAGTGCATTAAAGTGGCACTGTCATGCCGAACTTACCTTTCCTCAATCACTTCCTCTTCTCCCCCTCTCTCAGGATCTGTTCTTCTTTTCTTCCTGTCTTCTTTAGTTTTCTTTAAAATCATAAGACAAAATAGGGACTCTTTGCCTTATGGAGGATTCCTCCGCTTGACCAGCTCTGACCGGCGGAGGAGCAAAATGTGCTTCATTTCTGCTGGTCAGAGCAATTTTCCCATAACTCTTACCTTTCCTCTGTGTTCCCGCAATGCTTCCTCTTATTTTACACAAAACTGCCGAATTGCGTTCTAACTGAATGAGAACAGTATGTTCGTTTCTTTTAGAACGCAATTCGGCTCTTTATTCGTATCGGAATTTCATTCGAATGAATGAAACTCTGATCCTATTCTTGCTGTGGCTGCATCTTGCAGCCGCTTAGTAGATAACTCCCTAATTCCCATGGTATTAGGGAGCTATCTACTAAAAGGCTGAAAGACCTAAATTGGTCTTTCAGCCACATTTACTAATACTAAGGAAAAATTAGTATATGGGGGGCGGGTAGACTTAGGGCCCCCACCTGCCGCCGCCCGGGGGTGGGGGGGGAGGACAGTAAGTCCACCGCCCTCCGCATTCTTTATGGCTGCTGCTCTGTGGGGGCCAGAAGGGGGCGGACTATAGGTCCACCCCTCATCATTATGGCAATAGGTCTCCCCTCCCTTATTTTACTTTTGGGCCCCCACCCCACACTGTTTAGTGGACATACCCCTACTCTCATTTATAGCGAGTAGGGGCATTGGGGAGATTTTAATCTCCCTTGTGCTATTATGGGAGTCATATTGACCCCCATAGAGTCAGGGGGGGCTTATGAAGTGGTGGGGAGCACTGCTCCCTGCCACTTCTATCTTTACATATTACAAGGAGGGAGCTGCATGCCGGTAGCTCCCTCCTTGTAATAAACTGAATGAACAAACGAACACTGATATTCAGTGTTAGTTTGTTCGGCTGATATTTCTATTCACTCATTCGTCTGTCGAATGAATGAATAGATGAAATTCCCGTTCGCATGTCCAGGTGTTTCACTGGGCATGCGTGGGAATCTCAGTGCTATCTAGTGTGGGCAGATGACGTGTCCCATAGGGACTTCATCTACCCACACAAAGATGGCGGCGCCCTGAATCAAGATCGGGGCAGAAAATAAGGAATAAAAAATAGGCATTTGGGGGTGACTAGGGTGTCAGATGTAGTGGAGGCCGGAGGGGGGTAAAAAAAAAGATTCGGCATGAAAGTACTGTTTTAAAATGTTAAATTGTAAAAGTTGAACTCAAAAAGTAAGAATAAGGGCTAATGTAATGTCAAAATTTACCCCAATAGAAACTGTCTGGCCCAAGGTCTATGTGTGGCTGAAGGATCCTGTTATACTAAAAGTTGTAATAAAGAGGGGTGTTAAACACCCAAACACAATTTCCTTTCAAAACATTTATGAACGGAATGTGTTTAAATAGTTTTGAGATGACGGTAGTCTTGCAAGAAAAATGCTAGCTAAATGGCAACCGTGATTTCAAAACTCTTCACAAAGAATGTCAAGTCTTTTGAGTGTTGCAGTCTGTACTCAAGGTTCATCTACTGTCGGAGTCACTGGTTTATAAAAGTCTACCTTTTCTGTTTCACTGGCAATATGGATAGGAAACCATTGCTCGGGTGACAGATTCACACCCATGTATCCCTGCAAATTGTTGCATAGCTCATTCTACTTGGATTAACTACCAAGCTATATCTGTATTGCACCTCTTTAAGTTGACAGATGCCCATCTAACATTAAAGGGTTGGACAGCACTAGTGTAAAATCTTCCTGCTAAAAATGTTTTCGGTTTTTAATTTTTCTTTGTCACTTCTCTTTTCCCCTAATTTTCTAATATAATGCTTGACACACTCTAAAATTTTAGAAAGATTATCAAACCATGTTAAATCAAGGCCCAAGTTCTTTGTTTTTCTCTTTAGGACCTGGAGAAGGAGAATGACACCCCTTTAATTCAGGTGTCCATTGAGGAAATATTGGAGGAGCAACGTGTCGAGCAGCAAAGCAAACAGGAAGCTGACAAGATCAAAGTCCAGGCTCTGAAAGAACGGGGTCTGTCCATCCCACGTGCAGACACTCTGGATGAATATTAAACTATTGGTGGACAGTGTGACCATTTCTGTAATTACAATAGAAATGTCCTAGTGTGGGATAATTCGTTTTTTTTTTTTGTTTGGGGTTTTTTGGACTTCCATATTGCAGACCTACTATGAAATAGTTTGTTCGTAAAATGCAGTTATATTTTTTTTTTTTTTTTAAAGAAAACATGCCGGCCCACTAGCAATTCTATTGCAGAACAAACTTGTTTTGAGGAGTGGAAAAGCCTATTAAACCGCTGCCTTTTTTTTTTATTTTAATGGTTTTTCTTCTAACCTTTTTGAATCTGTAAATGACTGTCTTAAGTAAATGGACAAGTTGAGAATTATGAAGACAATCAACTTTGTCCTTGTACATGTAAATACATCTGTTAACTATTTGCTAAATAATTCCTAAAGAATTAATGATCACTTCGGGAAGTATGTGAACTTTTTATTTTATATATTTTTTCCCTCCCACATTTCATCTTAAAAGCAGTAAATCTGTTTAGTTGCCTTTTTGTATTTAGTCTCACAGCGTGTGTTTTGTGGTCTCTGAGGCTTCTGTCACTTAAAAGGTGGTGTTTTGTAAAGGCTTCTGTTATACTTTTTGTTACCAGTCACAATTGAAGATCTGATGGTTTATACTGTGTAGTAGAAATTTTCCAACTTGTTAATATCTGGCCTATACTCTACAACTCAGTATAGCTGCCTGTTAACTAAATTTACTCTCTGCATGTGTATAAACAATTTTAGTTTCCCAAATGGCTAAAATAACAATCAGTGTTAGAATTCAGTTTTTTAATTGCAGTTTAAAGATATTCACATCTAAAGAGGGAAGAGAAATCTTGCCAAAACCTAAATTGTAAAGATAATCCAATATATATAAAAAAAATAAATGGTGAAATGGCATGGTATGATTTGGCTTTGTCTTTCGTTGATCTTTTATATGAAGATAAGATCTACAAATCATTGTGGTCATGTATAAAGTAAGAAACTTAAATAAAACTCGGGCACACACTTATTTGTGGGGAAACTGAATTCAAGAGTTGTCAATAACTGAAAATAGTTTATATTGACATCAGCATATGCACGCATGTGTTTAAAACTGTTTAATTTTTTTAAAGAAACTTTATGTCCAGTACCATATTTACATGCAGTGTTATTGACTGTTTACCAGGTTACTGTAAAAAAGCATGTAGCACAATGAGTGATAAGTATTTATGTAATTGGGCTTCAATTACCCCCAATGGGCCTACTGCTATCTCTAACCTTAATGAACTGCCCACTATAGAGGCTCCAGGGTTGAGAAATACTGGGGGGGGAAGGTGGATTTTTCCTCCTTTTTCCAATTTATATTTTGGGGGAAGATGTTTGTTCGTTTAAAGTTTCACTTGAGGTTTTGCCAATCATTTTTAAATAAGAGGCTGGAGAGAAATAGGCCATTTCTAGCTGAAACAATCTACAATACTGCGAGCAAACAATGGAGGGAGAGGTGGGGGTCCCGGCAGTTCTGCAACATTGTTTTTCTCCACAGCTTCCAAACCGGATCCTTGAAGTGAGCCCTGAAATATAAAAGCACTTTCCCACTGTAATTGCTCCACTGACCCCAAGCAATTCCTGATTTTCTGCCTATGCTCAGTTCACAGAACCATTAAACTATGCTTAACTACTGCTAACCTGCCTCACAACTACTTTACACATTTTAACTCTTACCTTGCCACCCTGCATATGTGGCCTCAGTGGCAGTACAGTTAATGTCTCATGAGGTGGATTCCCTACAAGTCAATGCTGATTTTAAGATTGAGCCTCAACATGTATACAATTTTGGAAATATCTAAAAAAATTTAAATTAGAACTAATGGTACCACCGTTGATGTGTTGCTATAACTTATTATGTTTATCGGGCTTATTCACTAAAGTTAATACTGTAGGGAATATTAATGTATATCACATTTAAAGAGACTATAGGCACCCAGACCACTTTATCTCAAAATAGTATGGGTACAATGGCCCTGTCTTTTCAACTCTGCAAGTGAATATAGTGCTTGTTTAGATTGCACAGTTATCATGCATCTAGTGGGTATCTTATAGACAAGCGTTAGAATTGCTTCCACCACAGTAGCAGAGTTAAACTTGGCTATTCAATCAGATGATATTGTAGAAAACATTTGATTGGCACACCACTGCATGTGCAATAGCTTCCCAATGTTTTCCTTTGGGAAAACATTGGATTGATTGAGATCATAAAGACTGATCTCTGCCAAGTTAGTGGCGATAGCTGAAAGGTAAAATATTAATCGCCTATCAAAACCTCCCACCAAATAGAGTAGATTTAAACTCTAGCGTTTGTAATACAAATGTATTCCTAATGCTAAAGTGTTACATTAATGCCAAAATATCTGAACTGAAAGCATAACAGCGTTGGAGAATCTTTCCCGTTTGGTTACTTTAGCCTTAAATTTGACATAAGATCAATCTTTGTTGTAGAGGGCCAGGTATGTCAGTACAGATTTCATTTAAATGGGACACTGTAAGCTCCAAAAAATCAAACTTATGTTTAATGGAGTGGTTATGGTATATAGATCATGGTGCTGCAGTCTGAGCACTTAACGCCCTTTAGGAGTTCTCACTTTGTTTTTGCAAGCACCTTCTCTTCATTAAGTCTATTCATTAAGTTTGAATATGTTTAGCTAATGTACTAATTGTTTGCAGGTGCTCATTGAGTATAGTTGATCTTTGGTTTGGGTCATATATTCATGATTTGGTTTTATTTACAAAGCGCCAACAAATTCTGTAGTACTTATCCATGTTAATCCCTTTACAAAAATGTTTTGCAGCATAACCCCACACCTCTTATTTATGCTTCCTTTTTTATATATATATATATATATATATATATATATATATATATATATATATATATATATATATATATATATATATATATATATATATATATATATATATATATATATTTTCTCTAACTGGATTTAACTTTTTTTTAGTTAAGTTGAGCTCATTCTGCACTGCAACCAACGCAGATATGGAGGCAGGGAAGGAGCAGCAGCCAGAGTGTAGATTATGCGATCTGTGTGATGGGTGGGGGACTGTCAGCTTGCCGTCATCCTGGGTAATAGGTGAAAAGATGGGTGAGTTGCCAGAACTAGCCTTCTGCCATGTTAATTACTGGAGTGGGGAGAAAAGGATTGGGGCATTGCTCGGAGGAGGAGAGTCAGAAGCACTATTGTCAGATTGTGTGACTGACAGTCACTCTAGACTGTTGTAGTCTTTTGTAGTAGTCACAAACGCTTGCCAAAGTTAGCGTTCATATTTGTGTTTTGCATTTTTTTTTTTTTTTAAAACCAAAAACTGCACTTTTATTGCTTTCATCGTTGATAGGTTTTACTGTTTTAAACACTCATATTGGTGTTCAGCAAAGTCTCCCGAGTATAACAATACCCCCTTGAAAAGCCACCTTACCGGCGAAACGCGCGTCGGGTTTTTTTTCTTTGATCCCTCCTAAACACCTTAATACCCTGCCGATGCAAAGATTATTCTTTATTTGAAAACCTATACTTTGTTTAAGATTTCTTCAGACATTAGGTGTTTTGGGGGATAAATTTATGACTTAGCCGTTTATACCACGCTTGTAATATACCGACATCTAACAAAGATATCACAGGATACCAGTTTGGAAGCTTCTATTTAGACGTTAGCTAGCCAGCTTGATAACTTGGTTTACTCTTTAGAGAGGTGCCCTTGAAGGCACAGTTATTTACTATAGATAATTTCTGCTTTCTCTCTTTCTTTTCAAGTACCTGCAGCTAGCTTCTCTGTCTGTTAGGTGCCCACGAAGGCACAGATACACTTCTATCTTCCAACTATATCCACTTTTGGGGTCTTTACAGTATGGATCATTGTTTAGAAGTTATCATATATGTATCCTGGTATTACGTTTAAGAACAATTAACTGCAGTCTAATAGCCAGATTAGATGACTCTGCTTATGTCGTTATATTACTAGAACGTCTAACTCTTGTTCGTTCTGACTATAGCTTACAGTAACAGACGTGTTTTATCCCATGTTGCCAAGCCGAATTAAAAATACTTGGGATATATTTAGAAATTATTGTATTAGACGTTTCCTCTGTTATCTTTAAAGCTTGAATTACTTACAAACTGCAATAGTATCACTACAGCAGACGCACTTCTCTTTTTCTTTTGCTATAAGAATACTTTAGACACATTGGAAGTATTCTTGGTAAATCACAGTAGCAAAACATTTTTTACTGTTTGCTAAATTTCATTAACTGTAACAAATATTGTAGATACATTGCAACAGTATCGTCATAGTAGCCAGTATCTATTTATTTATACAACGTTGTTATTCACATCTTTGATATTTAAACACTGGCTCTTCGTTTTGTTTTTAAAATCTAACGTTTCTCTTATCTTTTCGTGTCTTGGTATGTACATATCTAGACAGATCAGTATTGTATTATATATGTGAAATGATCACTTTATATTGCGTTCACCATTAAAAGTTTAGTTTTAAATACACACATTTCCTTGGTAGTGCTCTCTTTCCTCCTTTCTTAAATTTGGGGTTTTTTTTGTTTTTGTTTTTTTTTTTTTATATTTATAATATACTAGAACCATCCTGCACATTATACTATTGCTCCCTGAGATTTCAGTCACAGCTAGCACCTACTGCAGCCAGACACACTGGAACACAATGTTTGTACACACTGGTTAACCACAACATTAAAACCAGTGAAGTGAATTACATTGATAATATAATTAAGGACTGTCAGGGTCTTGGGTGCCCAAGATTCACTAATGCATGTGGGGAGCGAAACACGAGTTGGTGTGGTCCAATCACACAGAGGTACAGTATTCAAATTGCTGAATAACTTAATGTAGGACATGATAGGTGTCCGAACTTTGACACGTACCACCTTCATAGAGATAGTTGCAGACCACGTACACCCCTGTATGCAGAGGTGTTCCCTGTTGGCAGTGGCCTCTTTCAGCAGGATAACACACCCTGCCACACTGCAAAAATTGTTCTGAAATGGTTTGAGGAACATGGCAAAAAGTTCACGGTGTTACATTGGCCTCCAAATATCGATCCACTTGAGCATCTGTGGAGAGTTCTGGTACAACAAATCTGATCCATGGAGACTTAACCCCTTAGTGACCAGACTGTTTTTCATTTTCCTTACAGTTCAGGACCAAAGCTGATTTTACATTTCTGCGGTGTTTGTGTAGCTGTAATTTTCCACTTGCTCATTTATTGTATCCACACATATTATATACAGTTTTTCTCACCATTAAATGGTCTAAGGATACCATTATTTTTCATTATATCATGTAATTTACTAGAAAATTAATTATTCAAATTTTTTCATCATATTTTACAAACACTTTTTCTAACTTTGACCCCCAAAATCTGTTACGCATCTACAGCCGCCAAAAAGCTCCCATACTAAATACTTTCTAAATTTTCTCCTGTGTTTAGAAATACCCAATGTGAACTTTTTTTAATTTTTTTTTTAACGAAAGTTACATTGTAACACTATCTGTCGGGAATCCCTGAAAAACCCTTCACATGTATATATTTTTTAAAAGGACAACCTAAGGTATTTTGACTCTTTTCATGAAACCATTTTACCACCAATCTATGCCAAACTTAAAAAAAAAATAAAAATAATTGGTGATTTATTTTTTTTTATTTTTATTTTTTTGTTCAGCAACATTTCCTGAGTACAGCAGGGCCCCCAATGTACAGGTTTTATGGGTTTTTAATACTGTATGGCAGCCTGGAAATGAAAATTAACCTCACCATGACATACCATTTTAAAAAAATTAGACAACCCAGGGCATTCAAAATGGGGTATGTTCAGTCTTTTGTAGTAGTCACAAACGCTTGCCAAAGTTAGCATTCATATTTGTGTGTTGCATTTTAAAAAAAAAAACAAAAACTGCACTTTTATTGATTTCATTGTTGTGATAGGTTTTACTGTTTTAAACACTCATATTGGTGTTCAGCAAAGTCTCCCGAGTATAACAATACCCCCTATGTACAGGTTTTGAGACCATATGGTCAGGGGCGGGCTGGACTGGGGGGCAGGGAGGCAATTGCCCCCCAGGCCGCCCTAATAATTTGAAAAACGTCCCCCAGTCCTCGGCACCAGGAGGAGGGGGGTGCCGCTCGTAGCAGGACAATGGCTTGTCACAGGGAGTCCTGCAGATGGCCAGCTGGCCACCTATAGCAAGGCAGAGTAGGCACCTGCTTGTCCCAGATGGCAGGTGCCTTCTCTGCAGGAATATACCGGCCAGTGTTCGCTGAGGCAAGCAACAGTGAGGGAGCACTGTCTGAACTGTATGATCTTCTAGCTCCCTCGCGCGCCCTCTCTGGTGATTCCGGGAGCCGGAATATGACATCATTCCGGCCTTGCATCACTAAACTGTGCGAAGGAGCAGGAAGTTCACGGAAGTCTCTGGACCCCAGGGAGAGGACACAGAGGACTCCTAAAGGTAGGAGCAACAAGAAATAAAATTAATTTGTGAGTGTGTGTGTGGGTGTCTGAGAGTGTGTCTGTCAGTAAGTGTGTGTGTCTGTCAGGGCTGTCTTTTCGCATGGGTAAGCTGGACAGTTGCCCTGTTTTCTGGTCTTGGGCCGTTGAGGTAGATCTCCCTTCGATCGGGGAGAGAGGTAGCTAGGACCCAGGGCTGCAGGAGAGGCCGACCTGTAAGGCAGATCGCTCCTCCTGCAAGCAAGCTGTGTGGAGCGTTGCCGCTCATTACCATGGCAATGCTCCATAGCATTCTGCGCGCAGAAGGACAGGAGACAGCCTGCAGCCAGACAAGCTGCAGGCTGTACAGAATTCACAACTGGACCACCAGGGCTGGCTGTGTCCCAGCCTCTTTCACCAAAAGTAAGAAGAAGGGTGGGGGGACATATAGATTTTATTTAATGTATAGTAGTATTAAAAATCAAAAAAAATTGCTACCTGCACCCCTCAAACACACACACAGCACCCAACACACACATGTGTGTATTCAGCACTCTGTGTGTGTGTGTTCAGCGAACTGTGTGTATGTATTCAGCACTCTCTATGTGTACTTAGCAGTCTGTCTGTGTGGACTCAGAAGACTGTCTGTGTGTAGTCAGCAGTCTGTGTGTGTGTGTGTGTGTCTATTCATCAGTCTGTATGCGTGTATTCAGCAGTTGGTGTGTGACTATATTCAGCAGTCTGTGTGTATGTATTGTATGCATGTATTGCATTTGTTGGAGGTACTTATAAACATAATTTACGTTTTTATTCCTGTAAGTTGTGTAGGCAGTGCACTGCTTTGCCTGGGGGCCCATAATGCTGTTAAGATGGCACTGGTGTGTGTGTCAGTGACTGTGTCTGTCAAGTAAGTGTCTGTCAGTGAATGTGTGTCTGCCTGTCAGTGAGTGCTTGTCTGTCAGGGTTTGTGTGTGTGTTATTGAGAGTGAGTGCCAGTGTGTCTGTCAGCAGGGCCAGCCTTTGAGGTGTGCAAGCTGTGGGGTCACGTAGGGCGCCATGTCAACAGAGGTGCCCAGCGACCAACACCGCTCACAAGTTTGGGACACCAGCATATTTAATTTAAAGCGGCACTGTCATGCCGAATTCTGTTTTTTTTTTTTAACCCCTCTCCCGTCTCCACTACATCCAATTGACTCACTAGTCACCCCCAAATGCCCCTAAGCCCCCAGCATTACCTATTTTTTAATCCTTATTTTCTGCCCAGATCTATATTCAGGGCGCAGCCATCTTTGTGTGGGTAGATGAAGTCCCTGTGGGACACGTCATCAGCCCACACTAGACAGACTGTGAGATTCCCGCACATGCCCAGTGAAACACCTGGACATGCGAACGGGAATTTCATCTATTCACTCATTCATCAGACAGACGAATGAGTGAATAGAAATATCAGCCGAACAAACAAACACAATGTATCAGTGTTTGTTTGTTCGTTCAGTTTATTACAAGGAGGGAGCTACCGGCGTGCAGCTTCCTCCTTGTAATATGTAACTATAGAAGCGGCAGGGAGCAGTGCTCCCCACCACTTCATAAGCCCCCCCAGGTCCCCCCCTCACTCTATGGGGGTCAATATGACCCCCATAATAGCACAAGGGAGATAAAAAATATACCGCGAGTAGGGGCATGTCCACTAAACAGTGAGCAGCCTGTGGCTGCTCACTGTAAAAAACAAAAAACAAAAAAAACCCAACTATTGGCCCCCACCCCTAAACAGTGAGAATGAGGGGGGGGGCAGTACTCCCCCCACCCCTGGGCGCGGGTGGGGGCCATAGTGAGAATGAGGGGGGGGCAGTCCATGGGTGAAGATGGATTATTTTTTTGTGCTCTGTTTTTTTTTTTTTCGTCGGGTTTTTTTTTTTGCGCTTGGGATTTTTATTTTATTTTCAATTCGACGGTTATGATGGTTTTTTTATTTGGCCTTTTTTGGGGCTGAAAAAAGAAGATTTGAGAAAAAAGAAGACGTCGAATGGTAAGTTTAATTTTATTTTACAGGTTAGTTATTTTATCCCCCCCTCACTATTTTTTAGGGTGAGGGGGGTAGGTAGGGACTTGTTTTTTTTTGGGTGGGGGTGGGTGACTAGGGGCTTGGGGACCCCTAGTCACCTTGGGGGGGGGGGGTAATTGACTTAGGGCCCCCACATTAGTAGGCCCCTTCATGGCCCCCCCGCCGCCCAGGGGTGGGGGCGGGGGGGGGCAGTAGGTCCCCCCCATTCTCTTATGGCCCCCACCCGCCGCCCAGGGGTGGGGGCTGGGGGGGCAGTAGGTCCCCCCCATTCTCATTATGGCCCCCACCCGCCGCCCAGGGGTGGGGGCCGGGGGGGCAGTAGGTCCCCCCCATTCTCATTATGGCCCCCACCCGCCGCCCAGGGGTAGAGCCGAGAAAGCAATGGAGTCCCCATTCTGTATAGCCCCACCCGCCCGCCCAGGGGGTAGGGGCAATGGTATCCCCCTCATTCTCACTATGGCCCCACCCGCTGGCCCAGAAGGCGATAAATCCCCATTCTCATTACTTAATTTACCCAGCACAGCCCAGGGGTAGAGCAATGAGTCCCCTCATTCTCACTATGGCCACACCCGCCGCCCAGGGGTGGGGGCCGGGAGGGGGGCAGTAGGTCCCCCCCATTCTCATTATAGCCCCCACCCGCCGCCCAGGGGTGGGGGCAGTAGGTGTCCCCCCCTCATTCTCACTATGGCCCCCACCCGCCGCCCAGGGGGGGGGGCAGTAGGTCCCCCCCCATTCTCATTATGGCCCCCACCCGCCGCCCAGGGGTGGGGGCGGGGGGGGCAGTAGGTCCCCCCCCCTCATTCTCACTATGGCCACACCTGCCGCCCAGGGGTGGGGGCCGGGGGGGGCAGTAGGTCCCCCCTCATTCTCCTTATGGCCCCCACCCGCCGCCCAGGGATGGGGGCCGGGGGGGGAGGACAGTAGGTCCCCCCCCCTCATTATCTTCATGGCCCCCACCCGCCGCCCAGGGGTGGGGGCAGTAGGTGTCCCCCCCTCATTCTCACTATGGCCCCCACCCGCCGCCCAGGGGGGGGGGCAGTAGGTCCCCCCCCATTCTCATTATGGCCCCCACCCGCCGCCCAGGGGTGGGGGCGGGGGGGGCAGTAGGTCCCCCCCCCCTCATTCTCACTATGGCCACACCCGCCGCCCAGGGGTGGGGGCCGGGGGGGGCAGTAGGTCCCCCCTCATTCTCCTTATGGCCCCCACCCGCCGCCCAGGGATGGGGGCCGGGGGGGGAGGACAGTAGGTCCCCCCCCCTCATTATCTTCATGGCCCCCACCCGCCGCCCAGGGGTGGGGGCGGGGGGGGCCGTAGGTCCCCCCCCCCTCATTATTGCCCCCAACCGCCGCCCAGGGGTGGGGGCCGGGGGGGGCAGTAGGTCCCCCC